TGTTATTTTATTTTATTTTATTAAATTTAATTTTTATTTTTTTAAAATCTATTTATTTTTATTTTGATTATTTTTTTGTTGAATTTTTTTTTAATTATATCCCTAATTATTTTTTGTTGAATTTATTTTTTTTAATTATATCCCTAATTATTTTGATTGATTGAGAATTTAACATTATAATTTTTTAAAAAAAATTATCTTTTATGGTGTAATTCGACCTTATAATTTGTGTTGCAAGCTTTGACGATTTGATAGAATATTATTTTTTAGGTCTTTTATATTATTTATTTTTAAATTTAATTTTTTAATATTAAATTAGTTGAAAATTGATTTTTATTATTTTTTCTTAACTTTTCTTTCTATAATGAATTAGTTGAAAATTGATTTTTGTTATTTTTTCTTAACTTTTCTTTCTATAATGTTTTCTCAATCTCATATTATAGTTCATGGATTTTGCAAATTCATCAGGGTTGATTCAAACTTTTTTTTTTATTTTGTTTAAAAATATTATTTTTTCAACTTTGTCTCTTAATATTAAGATTGTTTGAGAATTGAGTTTTATAATTTTATTCAATTTACTTTCCACGAGATTATTCTAGTCTCGCAAATATGTTATAGATTTGATGTGCTGGTTCGAATAGACCCAGGTCAATTTCTTTTGTGTTTTTTAAAATTGTTATCTTTTTCTTTTGTGTTTTTTAAAATTGTTTTCTTTTTATTTTCTTTGTTTGATATTTTATTAGCTAGAAATTGAGATTCATTTTTTTTTATTTTTCTTTCTATGCAATTATAATGTTCTCATTTGATTTTTATTTTGTTAAGAAACAAGATCATGAGACCTTTTAAGAATATTATAAAACATATTTTTATAATATATATTGACATGTATTCATCTTTTGTATTGAATCATTATTAAATTTTTGTTTTGTTTTATTTATTTTTGATATTTTCTGTTCGAATTATATTATTAAATTAGTAAAAATTATTAAACCTAATCAAGTCAATAACAATAACCTATTTCTTTTTATTATATCCTTTTTATTAAAGCATTTATATCACCCTATTATCTTTTTCTACAATAAAAAAAAAGTTAGACCCGCGGCAATGCAACGGCGTAACCCTAGCATTCTTTAAACTTGAAATTTAAATACTAATCTCAATAATTCATTTGTTTTAATGCATTTCGATTAATCCCCGATGATTTATTATGTTCCTTATACACGATCCTATCCTTATCTCATCAACCAGTTGGCTGATGACCCCTTCTATTAATGTAAACTTTAAACCCAAACACGGATGTCCATGATTGACGGTCAAATTAGCAGCCAATTCTTTGCAATATGAACATTAATTTACACTTGTTATTAATGCACTCCACCGATTCTTGTTGATTTTCTCTTTTGCCAAAATGAAGTTTGCTTTGCTTCTATCGCGTGTTTTTCTTTCATTGTGCTGCTCGGAAGCTGCCAATGGAACAGTTCCGTCTGTTTTTCTTTTGGAGATTCAATCCTTGACACAGGAAATAGTAATCAAAATCCCTATTTTGTTAAAGAGCAATGCCCCTCCGTATGTAAGGGATTTCCCTGGAGGGAAAGCAACTGGAACGTTTTTAGTGGTGGAAAAATATTGTCCGACTTGATTGGTAAGTCAGCTTTAGCAGGCTGAGCTTGCATGATTACTTCCTTTAGTTTTAATGCTCTTAACTGTTTGCATGATTCCAACTTTTCTAGTTATCATTATTTTTTAGGAAATATTTCAATTTTTTAATATTAAGAATAGATTACAAATGGTATATTTCCAATATGGTGCTTCAAGAAATTGATTTTTTCTCCTTAAGAAATAGCGTGAACGTTCGTAATTTCTCATCTCTCAATATGGCACCCATCTCATGAACTCCTCTTAACCTTATTTTCCATTATTTGTTGGATGGATATAATTCAGTCTTATCAATGGAATACCAATTGAATGTCTTCAAAAATTACATATCAAAGCTTCAACAAGTCGTTGGAGAAGAGAGAGCAAATCCCATCATATCAAGAAGCCTATTTCTAGTTCCACAAGGAAACAATGATACTGTCATTACTTACTGTTCACTTCATTAGGAAACAATGATATCAAGAAAGAAAAAATATAGTTACAATTGATGAATAAGAATAGGAGAAATCTTTTGATTTTTGTAATTTGTAATTATAGTCACATTCTAATTTAATTGCTATTGATTAAGAAGTGCTGACAACCTATTGCTTTCTGTTGGTGCAATGTTGAAGAATTTGCATAATCTGGGATCTTGAAAAATAGTGTTTCTGAGTACGTTTCCGTTGGGATGTCTGCCACCAACTAGAGTTGCCGTAGGAGGGTTAACTAGAGAATACTCTGATGATATCAATAATATAGGTTTGGTTTTTAAAGCTAATCAGTTTGAGTTTTTTAAATTTAAAGATTAATAAAAGTTTATATAAAATGAGTTTTAAGTTATATTTAAACTGGCTCGGATATCCAGAATATAAATATACAACACCAAGTTATCATCTGAACTAACTAGTCGTCTTAACTGTAGCCTTGCCGACTCCGACTCCAAGATTTTCTATCTTGATCAATGTCTACAATAGTACCCTGCTTGCTGTCTTCCAACATCCCGAAGCATGCATCAGGTAAAATATTGTTTACAACAATTTCCCGTTTCTTTACCTCAGCCATGGCGTGATTGTTATAATTATATTATTAAAAACATCAAATTAACTACTGATAATATCAGGATTTCAACAAGCTGCCAGAGGGTGTTGTGGCACGGGAGCCTTTGAGCTGGGGATAGCTCAATGTACCAATGCACTCCTACACGCATCCCAATATGAGTTTTGGGACGCTGCCTATCCATCTGAAAGAGCAGAAAGAATGATTGCTTCTCAGCTCCTCCAAGATTATGCAAGCAGCTTCTCTGGATAATATCAACTGATTTTCCAGGATTAAGGGTTACCTTTCATTTGCTCTCCTTGCTTTAATTAGAGAAGATTTCCCAATATTCCATGCTCTAGAAATTACTTTTTTTTTTATAACTTTTAATTAGTAGCATCTTATTAGTTACTCTTAAGTATCCACTTAATAATAATAATAAAAAAAATTAACCTGATAATAATATCTTCATCTAAGATTTTTTTATCTTAATTTTTTTTATTTTTTTAAAAGTAATATCTAAATAATAGTTTAAATATCATTAGTTATTCATTAAGCACCATAAAATTATTTTTTATTGTCGAGTTAATATTTAAATGTATTATTAAATATTATAACGTTATTTTTCCTTGTTTTTTGTCTTAAAAGACCCTTCCAAATGGACCTAGAATCAAAAAAGGATAAATACGACCTTCATTAAAAAAATAAAAGGAATTTTATAGGAAAAAAATAATTTAAACTAATTTTATGAGAAAAGATAAAGGAAACACATTTGTTTGATCTAGGTTTTTACTGGGCTATTAGTACTTTCCCTTCTCATAACTAGGCCCAATGACTACTAAAACAGTAATTTGGGCTTGGGCCGTTTAATGTAATTTCTCCCTTTTTGGAAAGGAAAAACATACCACCCCCTAGAAATCAGAGACAACAACGAACTCTATGCCACCGTTTTTGACCGTAGATTAACATCGGTTCCACATAACCCGAAAACACGATAAAACAATCTGCTGTTACTCTCAGGCTATTCATTGCTCTGTAGATATTGTTGGAGCTTCTCTGTAGTCTCTCGATCAAAGAAATGTCGTCGAGCAGGAAATTTACTCTGAAAAGCTCAGACGGAGAGGCTTTTGAGGTAGACGAAGCTGTAGCGCTTGAATCGCAGACTATAAAACATATGATCGAAGAAGATTGCGCTGATAACGCTATTCCTTTGCCTAACGTCACAAGCAAGATTCTTTCTAAGGTGATCGAGTACTGCAAAAAGCACGTTGAGACTCCTAAATCGGACGATCGCCCTTCTTCCGCTGATGACGATCTTAAATCCTGGGATGCTGAGTTCGTCAAAGTTGATCAGGCCACTCTCTTTGATCTCATCCTGGTTTGTTCGTAATTTTTTTGTATGGTTTTTAATTAGGTTAATTAATTGCTAGGGTTTGATTTATTTATTTTACGTAATTTCTAGGATTGAATGTCATAGCTTTATTTTATTGTAAGAACCTTATTTAATTGCTAGGGTTAGGGTTTGAATTTATTTTTAGCTGACACTAGAAGTTAGGTGAATGTTGAATTAATGGTGTCTAAGGGCTGTGGTCACTGTATGTGTTTGCGCTTGCTGTGGAAGGTTTGGGAATAGATCTTAATGTTCTAATCTGCTTGGATTTGTTTAGGCTGCCAATTACTTGAACATCAAGAACTTGCTGGACCTAACTTGTCAGACAGTGGCTGATATGATCAAGGGCAAGACTCCAGAAGAGATCCGCAAGACATTCAACATCAAGAATGACTTTACACCAGAGGAAGAGGAGGAGGTTCGGAGAGAGAACCAGTGGGCTTTTGAGTAGAAGGGAAGGGGTTTAATCTATTTCTATAATTGCCTTTTTCTGTTGGACGTGGATTGATGTTAAGGTTTTAATTTTTTGCAAACAATTGTCATTTTGTTTCTTTGTCTTGTGTCGTTCTGTAACAGTTTAAATCTGTTGATATGGTATTTGTTGTTCCTTTATGATATCTTTGTGTTTTAGATTGCCTGATTATGCCATCTTGTCTTACCATACTGATGCTTTACTATCAATTCTTTGGCACCCACAAATTCAGAAATTCGAAGTTGGTTTTATGCGAGAAGGATGCGATGAACTTTTTGAATTCATGTTGATGTTAGGAATAAAACTGATCATTCTTAAGATTCATGTGATTATAGTGAAATTCAGGTTCCTTGCAGTCTTTTTCTATTCACTAGGTTGAGAGATCTCAATGAGAAATATAAATGCAAGACAGGAAGCTGTCTTGTCTTGCACAACAAGCATTCTTATATACAGATTGAGCTTGAGATATATAGTTTGAGCTTTTATTATCTCAAGCATTCTTAAATTTATTACTTGTGAAATACATCTTTCTGATGCAGCTGTTTTGTGAATTACCTACTGCTTGCAACAAATGGAGTGCGGACTTTAAGTTTTTTGTTAGTCCATATAATTGACCCAAACACGTCTTTGGGTAATGAAGGGACAGTTGTAGTGAAAATTACTTGATAACTCAATCTCTGGCTGTTCTTCGTAAATTGCAGGCTGGTTGGGCTCACGGTGATGGTTAGACTGCTAGGTGCTTCAATGGTTAGAGAGTATGTTGAATTACCATCTCCAGCAACATTTGTTAGGGTTCTGGTAATATTCTTGCTCTGCTTTCCAGTGAGGTTGAAAACTGCTATTGACGGGTAGTTGATGTTGGATATCAAGTCGACACTTGATTCCTCTGGACAAGTAAAACCATCTGGAATGTCTTTGGAAATAACTTTGATGGTGGATGTGTTGTACCCGTGATAGCATAGGAAGTTTAAGTAGTCAGTGGTGGTCGTTTCATAAACCAGCCCTGGTTGCAATGCTCCACTTGTGCTTATTTCTCCTGCCCCATAATCATAAGCCGTGGCTATAGCACCTAATTCTTTTGTTATTGGGGCCTTCATGTTGTTTATCTGAGATGCTGTAAGAAAGGGAAAGAAAACGGAAGAGGAATTCTAAAGTTAATATGAAATAATGAAATATTAACTAATTAGTTTTCCTTTGCTGGTCATAGATCTTTACCTGTTGACATAATGGCAGATTTGATTGCAGAGGGGCTCCAAGAGGGGTACTGGGATTTGACCACAGCAGCCAATCCAGAAACATGCGGACATGACATGGAAGTTCCCGAGATAATGTTGAATTTTGGGGATTCTTTACCTTTAAGAGTCACTTCTGTATCATTCGCCATCCAAGCTGCAAGTATGTCTACTCCTGGAGCCGCAATATCAGGCTGCAAAGCAAGAAGACAAGAGAACAATTTATTCACACATAGACTCAGGTGAGGCTTCTGTGACTTGTGGGAGATTCATGAATCCAGTGAAATAATTTGTATAGAAGAACTGGCTTTGCCTTGAGGATATTCCTTGAGAGGGAGGAAGGCCCTCTGGATGAGAAGTATGCGATAGTAGGTGCTGGCTTATATTGTGACACCACTGTGCTAGGTAGGATCGTTGCAACTGGATTTCTGGGAAATTATAAAATTTATCAGAAAACAAGTTGCCATAATCAATTTAATGAATTTGTTACTCACACAGTTACAGGTAAAGATTGCACCAAGATAATAGCATGTCTTACTTGGTCGAGTTAAGGTACGAAAGGATCCCGGGAGCATCCTTCGAACTAATCACAGTCAAAGGGTATTCATTGTAATTAGATGCAACTCCGCTCTTCTTGTCATCAACCAAAACAAGACCAATTCCTCCCAAACTCTGCACTTCGCCCTCCTTTTCATAAAAGGAGTATGAATCGTCATCGTTGTCACAGAGGACAATTTTTCCTTTGATCATTTCCCCATCCATAGAATCCGGGTTGCAGTTTCTGAAACAAAACGTCTTGTGACGTAAGTATTGGTGCCACTGCCTAAGATCCGTGTGGACTATATTGTTTTGTCATCTTAGATGAAAAAATAAACGGCTATCACATAAATATAGCACACCTAGCCTCACTTTCGGTTGCATCAGTCTTCTTAGCTGACTTTCCATAAATCAATGGATGTATTGGAGATGTTCCAATATTGGCGAAATTTATGGCTTCACCCTGAATTGAAATAAGAACACTCATTATGTTTCAATTGATATGATCTTATTGGTTGAAAGATTGCTAATAGAAAAAATTATAAAGGACAAGAAATTTAGTTGCTGCTAAAAAATTCCATCACCTTGATCACCTTTCCCCCATCGAGCACAACATTTGACTCAAATTTGCGGTCTATGGTTGTAGCAGCAACTGTCAGAATCCAGGGTGCAACATTCGTAACTGTTTCCTCGGATGGACCATCATTCCCCGCAGAGCAGACCACAGTGATCCCATTTTCAACAGCATGGAACGCTCCAATGGCTATTGGATCTTCCTTGTAATCGAGCATGAATGATGCTGGTGACCCTAGTGATAATGAAAGTATATCGACACCATCTTTAATGGCATCACTGAATGCAGCTAATATACTGGACCCATCACATCCATATTGTGCACACACTCTGTACATAGCAATCCTTGACCCAGGGGACCCACCTTTGGCAGTCCCAGTAGCTAATCCATAGTAAGATGCATCAGGTACCATAGTTCCTGCTGCAGTGGATGCTACATGAGTGCCATGCCCATTCGTATCTCTTGGTGTATTATCTAGTCCGTCATCGTCATCGTCGGGGCTATTGTAAGCTCTTGCTCCGATTATTTTCCTGATGAGGATCAAGATCTTAAGGTCATGGATAAATATGTGCAAACCAATGGAGGACAGATTTTCAAATTCTAGTTGACAGAGCAGGTTTTACCCGTTACAAAAATCATGAGCATCGACACAGGTACCGTTCCAGCGCGACGGTATTGGACCCATATCCTTGCCACTAAAACTCTCAGACTCGGGCGAAATACCTATATTACATATAACTCAAAGCTACACGTCAGTTTTTGGGAAAGAAATGATGTTTCGGAATGAGTTTATATAGCAAAGGACAAGAGATTTCACCTGTGTCTAGGATTCCAATGATCGAATCATATCCTCCGGAAGATGAGCTGGAGTTAGAATTGGGGCTTGAGTCAATCACTACATCGGTTCCGTATTTCAGGAAATCCCATGAACGAGTTGTGTGGAGTTGGTAGACAGGATCAGGAAAAACAGATACAACTCCGGGGTTTCTAGCGATTGATTGAGCCTCTGCTGCTGATAAACGAGCTGCAAACCCTGAAATTCCATGTTCATAGCTCTGCACTAGAGCATTCTTTCTCCTGGCAAGCACAAATATATTCAGTTTATCATGAAATTCCATCTGCAAGTAAAAACAGTCTTCTCATCGTTTTCCTTAGATTGAACTGTCTCCTAAAACCCTAATAGGAAAAAACACAGAGCCAACTTAGTTTACAGCAAGTGGGCTTAGGCCAAAAAGTCTTCATTTATTTATAGAGTTATCGTCACTTGGTCTTAGCTAGCTTAAAAATAATAGCAAAAGCTCGACACAGGCAAAGTTCTTAAAAGCTAGAATATTAGTATTGACACAACTTAACCAAAAGAAAAGAGTGATATTCCTAATGTGTTCACCGTTTCAAGACAGAGCTCAGAAGCTGGGCATGATCATTCTTCGAAGAACCTGTCGCAGCTCCCATGTAAACAATATAAACACCATCCTTCTCTCCCCCAGCTGCTCCTGCTGATTCTACCAGCACTGCAACAAAGAGGATAGGAAACAACACATAGCATATAGTATAACCTTTCATTTTAGCTGATCGCCAGGCCTCTCTAGTTTACTGAATCAGGCTGGATGTAAGTGAGGAAGCTATTAGCTAGACAGCCATCTACTGCTTCTTATATTGGTAGGATGGTGCTTGTGTGTGATAGTTGGCAACCGCAGGCCCAATGTCATATCCACCCGAAGTGCGCTATTGCTCAGCGTTTGCACGTAGACATCTGGATATGGTGGCAGTGGTGGTGCTGGTGGGGTGGTGACGGTGCATGGAAGTAGTGGTAATAGGTGAAGGCACCAACTAAATGTGCCAGCATCTTGAGCATAAAAATAGCAAAGAAGCTTGGCAACGGAACATCTCTTGTACTAAAGATACGTTTGTTCGCTGGAAACAAATTCTTTTTGGTAAATGAATATTTAGAAAATAAGTTTTTTTTATGGTATTTGAATGTCCCAGGAAAAATAAATTGAAAAGTTTGTTGTGGATATTGAAAATAAAATTATTTTTTCTATTATCCATACTATATGACCTAATATGTATGGATATTATATAACATGAAATGCCATCTTTTTAGCGTATTTTTTAATGGTTTTATAAATTTTATTTTATGCACTAATATAATGTGCTATATATGTATATAATTGTATTACTATTAAGGTATATTATTTAATAATTAAAATCTAGAATGTTTATATACTTTGGGCACCAGTACAATATTAATAGCCATCAAGATAATGAATTTAAAGGGGCATTGACCATTGGGGAAAACGTGAGTTATGATACATGCCAAAAATAAAAATAAAAACCCCACCAACATTACAAGAACACACAAATACATAAATTACCATAAAGTTCCATATTATTACAAACCACACCAGTTCATTCACTTAAGTTGTGTCACACTAGGCAAGTATTTATCGGATTGACTTGTACAAAGTGTCATTTTCAACATGCCTTACTCGATAAGTTTTTTGAAATATAATTGTAATATATGATCTAGGATATGACCAGGTTTAATGATGAGTCTACTGGGTTGCTGAGTTGATTCCCAGGTTATAGAATTAACTATTATTTTATTTAAAGTGATGTTGTTTATTTTTTAAAAAAATTCCTTTTTTATCCAAGCTTAGGCAATTTAATTCAATAATGAGTCAATGAATTGTGAATTAACTCTTCAAATCATTTAATTTGAAACGAGTTAATATTTAAAATTGTTTCAAAGTGAATGGATAAAATAAAACTCTAATTGTCGAGTCATTGAATTGACCCATAAAATCGAGTGATGCAGAGTTTAATAACTATATTAAAGCTTTGTACAAGTGCGGTCAGTTGTTTTTTCTAATAAAATACAAAGAGGCTGATAATCAATCTCGAATGGGTTTTCCATTTAGGACCAAGCACGTTTAGTGCTTTTTGAGACATAAAGGGACAGTAATTACTTCTTCCAATCATATTTTTGGTGCATGCTGAGCATGACTTTCACCATTTTCATAGTAATGGCGAATCAATTTTGGCAACCATATGTATATACAATGGTGTTAGACTTTGGAGAGGAATCTCTCACGATGAGTAAAACGCACCAAAATTAGGATAACACTCATCAAATCAAAATCTTTCCCTGCCCCCACCAAAATTATGACCCTCACATTCTTGTTAAAATAACCCTTCTTCGGTCAATTTTGATTTTTTGTCTGTCGATCATAGATTGTGATTGGCAATTTAAAATTATGACCCACATATTTTGTACTCTATTTTTTTGTATTTGCAATTTGGCACGGTACTTATTTTTATTACTTATAAAATGCCTGTAATGAAGAGATGGTTGGAGTGAAAGTCACTTGATAACTCAGTCTTTGAGCATTCTTCGTAAATTGCAGGCTAGGTGGACTCACTGCGATTATTAGACCGCTCGGTGCTTCAATGGTTAGAGAGTCTGTTGAAGTACCATCTCCAGCAACATTTGTAAGAGTTCTGTTAATGGTCCGGCTCTGAAATCCAGTGAGGTTGGAAGCTGATATGGACGGATAGTTGATGTTGGACATAAGATCGACGCTCGAGTCTTTCGGACAAGAGAAAACACCCCGAACATCCTTGGAAATAACTGTAATTGTGGACGTGTCAGTAGTCAATGGTGGTGGTTTCATAAACAAGTCCTGGTTTTAATGGTCCAGTAGTGCTTATTTCCCCTGCCTCATAATCATAAGCCGTGGCTATAGCACCTAATTCTTTTGTCATTGGATCCTTCGTATTGTTTATTTGAGAGATGCTGTAGGCCGGAAAAAAGGAAGAAAAATGACTCAAACATTAGTGTGGAATAATGGAAATAATTGTATTCAATGCTGCTTGTTGTAGATCTTTTTACCTGTTGTCATTATGGCAGATTTTATTGCAGAGGGACTCCATGAAGGATACTCGGGTTTGACCACAGCAATCATTGCAGAAACATGTGGACATGACGTTGAAGTTCCTGAAATCACGTTGAATTGTGGGGATTCTGTACCTCTTAGATTCACTTCTGTATCATTGGCCTTCCAAGCTGCCACATTGTCTGCTTCTGGGGCTGCAAAGCTCGAACAAGAGAACAATTTGATTACATATAAACTCCGGTGATTCTTCTTTGATTCGTGGGAGATATATTATTCATGAATCCAATCAAATAAAGTGTCCAGGAGAAAGAGAGGCTTTTCCTTGAGGATATTTCTTGAGATTGAGGAAGGCCCTCTTGATGAAAAATATGCCACGATAGGTGCTAGTTTCTGGTAGGCAGGTTGTTGCGACTGGATTTCTAAGAAGTTTCCGAATGTGTCAGCACATAAATTGCCATATATTTGTAATTGATATAGGTATCGAGATATAGTGTGTATCTTACTTATCTATGTAGGCAAGGACCTCTGCAGCATCCTTTGAACTGATCACAGTCATCAGAAATTCCATGAAATTGTCTGCAAATCCCCTTGTCTTGTCCTCAACCTAAACAATACCATCCCCTCCCAAGCTCTGCACTCCCTCTTTCTTGGCATCCTGCGAGCGTGTATCGTCGTCATTCTCACAGATGACAATCTTTCCTTTGATCATGTCACCAACCATAGAATCTGGGTTGCAGTTTCTGAATCACTACATGTTACATAGCATAAATATTGGTGCCAATATTTTAGGATCCATGTGACCTATTTCTAGATTTTTTTAATGATACATCTTTAAGCTAAGTTGGTAATCGTTTGTCATCTTCGTGGGCTAAGTAAGGGATATATCACAAAAATTGCATACCTAGCCTAATTTTCACCCGCTTAAGTGTTCTTAGCTGACATTGCAGACATCAATGGATGCCCTGGAGATTCTCCAATATTGGCAAAATTCATGGCTTCGCCTTGAATTGAAATGTGAACTCCCTTCATGTTCAATTGACTCAATTTTATATAGGATCGATCATTTCTTTATATACAACACAAGTAAAAATGAAAGGAAATTTCAACAAGGAATGGGACTCAATTTCTACCAAGAAACATCATTACCTCGACCACCTTGTTTCCACCCAACACAACATCAGACACAAACTTCTTGGTTACTGTTTCTTTGGTTGGCCCCTCATTTCCTGCAGAGCAGACCAAAGTGATCCCATTCTCTACGGCATGGAACGCTCCACTGGCTATTGAACCTAGTGATAAATATCAACACCATCTTCAATGGCATCGCTGAATGCAGCTAGCATACAGGCACCTTTCCAGCGCGATGGTATTGGACTCATATCCATGTCGTTGAAACTTTCAGACTCGGGCCAAATACCTGTGTTACAAAGAACTCCCGGCAGACATGTCAGTTGTTGAAAAAAGGAATGATTCTTTGTTTACCATTGATTTTAGGTAGTGAGTGCATGAGGTTCACCTGAATCTAAAAATCCAATGATGGTGTCAGATCCTTGAGAGAACAAGTTCGAGTCAGAATTGGGACTCGAATTAATCTCCAGATCGGTTCCATACTTCAAGAAATCCCAGGAACGAGTTGTGTGGAGGTGATAGACAGGATCAGGAAAAACTGATACAGCTCCAGGTGTTTTAGTAATTGATTGTGCATCTGGTGCTGTTAAACGTGCTGCAAACCCTGAAATTTCCGGCTTAAAGCTGCGCACCAGAGCATTCTTTCTCCTAACAAGCACAAAGAAATGTTGGTTCAAGTTATTATTACAAATCTATGTCCCGAAAACGTTCTGAGATGAAATTTGGCTACGAAACCACTTATGCTGTTTAGGTGGGCGTCGCTTTCCGGTGGAGGACGATTCTTGTTTTTTTTTTTGTCCATATGTCAATAATTCCCGCAGGAAAATGATTCATAGTGAGGACAAGTATTTTTCAAATTTAATAATTAATAGCTAGGATATATATAAATTTAAAAAATATTAATTACTATTTTTTTTATCTAACATTTTTAATTTAGTCAATGCATTCTATATCTAACATTCTATCATTATGGAACATTTTTAATTTAGTCAATGCATTCTAATTATATGTGACGTGAATATAAGTTAAAGATATTTACATGAATTAAAGTTTTATAAATCGTTTTATAAAAAAGCATGCCCTTTTTAATATTGTTAGTGTTTTTCTAAGGGTAAATATAATGTAAGGCAATAACTAAAAATAGCCCACAAGAAATTATTTAAGGATTCAAAATGAATTTTATTTTATTTAATTATTTTACTATTTTGTGTTTTTTAGTGTGTTGTGTCCAACACACCCATTATAAACCATTTTTATTTTAAATATTTTTTTTTAACTTATGCGTGATATGGATAAAAACTAGCAATGCATACATAAATAATAATAAAAAAGTCTTTATCCAAAAAAGTAAGTCACGACTTTGATCAAATAGATATTAAATTATTAAATTTAATAATTTGATAGATTTTGATTTAATTTAATTATTTTCATACTCTAATACTTTATATTTTTATTGGCTTTTTTATAAGCCTTTTTAGAGCTTTGATGGTCGAAATAAAATACCAAGAGCACCACATAGTTTATAAGGGATTTAAATAGATTATTTTATATTATTTAGAATTTTATATAATCTACAAGAAAAAATAAAAAAGAAAAAAGAAATGAGCTTACATTTTAGGATTCATTCTAAAAAGACCACCTATTCATTAAAAGCTAAAAATCTTATTTTCAAGAATTTTAATTTTTCTTAATTAGAGGTGGGATTGAATTTAACTATAATTAGGACACCGAAAGCCCGTCTTTTTTATAATATATGTATTATAATATTAGTTTTGTATTAATGATAAGATAGTCAATGATAAGGCTCTATAGCAATGGGATTTTGCTAAATTGCAAGTCGGCACTCAATGGAGTACTGTGGTTGACGTGCTAAGATTCCCAGCTGGGAAAAATGGAGCCCAAGAACGCGAAGATGGTAGCAATCAACATCTTGAACAGTGTTGCTTTCTATTAATCATCAAAGAGATATGTTCCATTTTGAGACATATAGGGCCAGTAATTGCTTCGGCAAATCATATTTTTTGTGCTGGCTCGGCGTGACTTTTATCATTTTCTAATTTGGTGACGATAATTTTGGTCAGGAATCAATTTTGGCAACAAAGTATAAAGTGGTGTTAGGGCCGAGTAGGAAGGAACCTTGCATGATGAGCAAGGTGTAGGTCCGATGTCTCGACTGAGTCTTTTAATCAGAGTTGTTGCGAGTGCGCCACTACCTCCTAATAAACTACCAAAATTAGGGTCCACATATTTCTGTTTCCACCCTCCCTCGAGCATTATCTATACTGATTCTTTACTGTAGAGGATTGAAATATACCAAAGGAATACCATGTCGGTGTCCATGTAAAATTTCATATGTATCCATGATATTATTGATGGAGTTGTCAACGGAAAACTATTGCTGGAAAATATCATGTTGGGTTTCTTTATCCCGTCATAAATTGCAATCTTCAACAAAACTCCCTTGCTAAAAAATCAGATTTTATTATTTATTTTCCGTCAGCAACTTCATTGACAGTTACCTTTTTAATGAAATAAAGATTTTTAAAAATTGCAAATTTGACATGTCAAAAAGGCCACCGGAATGGCTGGCAATTTTGTTTTATTATTATTTTTGTTTCATCGCCGTTTCTGTCAATAATCATGGACAAGAAAATATTGTTGATGGAGTATTTTCCGTGAGCATTTTCGTTGTTTTTTCTCGAGTTTAGAGTAGTGTGGGGTTCGGTTCATACCCTGAAAATTCAAAGATGTTCTTAGAGAGCTCCTTCATTGTGTCTTTGATGGATTCCGATGAACCTACTCCACATGTATCTGAAGAAAAGTCCCAATTGGTTGACCTAAAATGTAACGCGTGACTTTCAAGTTCGACAGTTTTATTTCGATCATCGGAGGTCAGACGTACTCCGACGAGGAAACTTGGGCACCATCTCCAGCTATCCTACCATCTTTCTATACGAATAGTTTATATATATATATTAAAACTTGTTTTTAAGATTATAATAAAGAGTAAGGAAAGAGGTTTTGTTAAAAAAATACATTTTTTTCTCTTTATTTTAAATCATTAAATGTATTTCTCATATTTATTTTAATTGCCTTTTTATGCAATAAATCACATGGATTAAAAAAATGTTTAAAAATTACATTAATCATCAAAGAAGAATTTAGACTAAGAAATTATACACACACACACACACTCACTCACTCCAGAATTTAGATTTTGTTTTTTTTAGGAAAACTCATTTTTATTTCTATGTATATACACACACTCCAGAAATTAGATTTTGTTTTTTTAGGAAAACTCATTTTTATTTCTATATAGTTAAATAAAGAATTGAATCGCATCTCATGACACAAGATAAATTACATACATGTACATTTATCTTTTATTTAAAAAAATATTGTATTTTTACTTTAATATTTAATTAGAGTTAATTTTTTTTTATGATTTAATATATAGTTTATATAGTTTTCAATTCATCTTATTAAGAAAATATATATTAACTTTTCAATTATCAATTAAAAAATCTCATGACATTAAAAAAGAAGAAGCAAGTTCACAACGCTTACTCATTATGCTTACTCATAACATTAAAAAAAAAAAAAAACAAGTTCACAACGCTTACTCATTATGCTTTTACATTGAAAATTAAATAGAAATCCTATTGATAGCATTGCACGGTTAACTAACTAGTAATCTTGTATTTCAATTCACAAAAATAGAGTCTATGACTACTCTTGATTATTTAATATAGGTACTGTGTTTATGTAAAATAGGAGAGTATAAATATTGATATACCAAATAGTTTTCACTCATTTTTATGAGATCAATATATAATTTATTTTGGAAAAAAATAATTTTAAGCAATTTTAATTATTAAAATTGTATAAAAAATCACTTAAATTTTGATTACGAAAATAGTCTTAAATCATAGTTCTCAAATTCAAATATAATCCTACCTGAAAAGTTGACTCGGGAATCCTGAAATTCAAGTTATAATCTAAATCAAATTTAAAATTAAATAATTAGTTTACCCGATGAAAATAAACTGTTTCTATGAAATTGATTATAAAATAAATAAAAGAAAAGAAATTGAAATAACATTATCGTAGTTTTTTATTTAAAAAAATGATTAACCAGATGTTTCAGTAATCCAAACTCTTTCACTAGATAGATGAAATTCTAAATAATATCTGACGCACATATCTAAAATACTTATTTACACCTCCAAACCATAATAAAAAAATGAATAAAATATTTGTCAACTATCTCTTAAATATTTTATTTTCAAAGGCCCCCGCGAGGAGGGTCGGCCCCTTTTTTCCAAAGCCATTGATTATTCTTCCTCCTTTCCTAGGTAGGACCCCGACATCATAGCTTGATTTTGTGCCAAGAAAAGACAAATAAATAAATAAATAAAAATTATGCCAAATAAAAATCACCGCAACAACACGCTGACTAATGTTGCCCCAATGAGAAGGATAAACAAACATCCAATCAAAAAAGGCCTCGTGGCATACGGAGCAAGTACCAGCACGTGCTTATCACGTGGATCGAATGCCCCTTTTCAATGCTGCATTTGTTTGTGCCGATTGTTTTTTAAAATATATTTTTAAAAAAATATTATATTAAAATAATATATATTTTTTATTTTTTAAAATTTATTTTTATTTCATCATTTAAAAATAATTAAAAAAATTAAAATTTTTAAAAATAAAATTTCTACAGTAAGAAAAAGCATGACTGTCGGGACGATTTGGTTCAATTACTGTACTCGAGCAGCTTTGAGTTCCCATTAATGGAGTCATTATTTATTTCCCTTTAACGCATTTGTTAAGAAAATATGAATTAATTTGTGATATTAATAAAATTAAAAAAATAACAATTTGATTAAAAAAATTATAATCACCTTATTGATGTACATTTTTTTTTCCTTTACATATAGGCATTAGAATTTTGTTTTTAGCTGCTAATTTCACAGAATCACTATGTAATTCCTTTTCAAATTTTTTTTTAAAACAAAACCTTAGCATCATTACGCTTTTGTCAAAATTTTAATTTTATCAAAATTTTAATAATTTTTAATTTTATTATTCAAATCAAATTTATAGTTTTTATTTTTTAATAATAATAATATTAATAATAACAATGATAATGGTGCTAATAAATAATAATAGTAATAGTAATGTTAGATATAATGATGATGATGATAAATAGTGATAGAGATAATAATAATAATAATAATATCATTAATAATGATAATAATAATAATAATATAAATAATAATGAAAATATTAATATTATTGATGATAAGAATGATAATAACAACAATTAAATTAGTAATTATAACAATGATGATGATAATGGTAATAATATTATTAATGATAATAGCAAAGATAATAATAACAAGATTAAATTAGTGATGATAATAAAAATAATAGTAGTTAATGGTAGTGACGGTGACAATGATACTGCTGTTACTATTAATAATGATAATAATAGTAATAATAATGGTGATAATAATAGCTGCGGATAAATAATAATAGTAATAGCAATGTTAGATATAATGATGATGATGATAAATAGTGATAGAGATAATAATAATAATATCATTAATAATGATAATAAAAATAAAAATAAAAATATTAATATTATTGATGATAAAAATGATAATAACAATAATTAAATTAGTAATTATAATAATGATGATGATAATGGTAATAATATTATTAATGATAATAGCAAAGATAATAATAACAAGATTAAATTAGTGATGATAATAAGAATAATAGTAGTTAATGGCAGTGACGGTGACAATGATACTACTGTTACTATTAATAATAATAGTAATAGTAATAATAATGGTGATAATAATAATGATAATATTAATAGTTATAATAATAATACTGATGATAATAATAGTTTTTGTGATAATAGTAGCAACAAAAATAGTAGTAATATTAATAATAATAACAACAGTAATAATAACGATGATGATGTTAATAATTATGAAAATAATAATGATGATAGTAATAATTGTAATGATAAAAATAGTAGTAATTATGGTGGTGATAATAATAGTAATAGTAATGATAATACTTATAATAATATCGATAACGGTGATAATGGTCGTAATGGTTGTAGTAATAATAGTTTACGATGATAATAATAGTTGTGGTGGTTATAATAATTGTAATGAAAATAATGGTTATGATATTAGTAATAATAAAAATAATATTAACAATGATGAAGGTAAGAATAGTAATAGTAATAGTAATTTTATGTGAGGGAGAAAAAAAAATAAGAATAGTGATGATAATAAAAACACTAATAATAATAACAGTGATAACATTAATAATGATAATAATAACAACAGTAACAAGAATAATAATAATAGTGATTATGAAAGTGGTAATTACTGTTAAGATAGTAATAATACTAATAAAAATATTACTATTATTATTAATAATAATAATGCTAGAAATAATAATAATAATAATAGAGACAACAACAATAATAGTTAATAGTAACACTAACATAGTTAATAGTAACACTAACAGTAGTAGTAGTAATAATAATAATAATAATAATAATAATAATGTTAATAATTATAATGTTAATAGTATGATATTACTAATTAATATTAGTGGTGATGGTGATTTTAATTCTTATTTATTGAATTGCTATTTAAAAAAAAAAATATATGATTTTTTTATTTTTTTATTTAATATTTAATTTATAAGAAATTAAATTTTATAATTTTTCTAGATTTGAAGTTTTGAGTATAATAACTCGGGTTATAAATTTAAAAAATTAACACTTTATTTTAAGGGTTTTATAATTTTTTTATTTTTTTATCAAATTATTACAATTATATAATCTGAACTATGGATCTAACATAATATTCTATTTTAACTTAGTTCAAATTAGTACTGTTATATATTTATATTTATCGGTTTTTAATATTATCTTTACTGCATTTCAATATTGTTTTTCATTAAAAAAAAAAATAGTTTGGCTTTGCCGCGCAGCACCGTGACCGACTATAGTTCACGCTAAATGTTGAACAATCTTTTGCCTATGTAAGTTCACTTTGGTCCCAGATTATTGACATAGTTCTTACAGCATTTGCCAACGGACGGAGATGGTCTTTAACGTGTCGACCAAAGCTGTGTGAATGATGGAATATAGGTGCAAATCGAAGATCCTTTTTTGTTGTCGTTCTGTTTCCGAGAAAGTAATGGTGTGCACTGCAAGGCGATGGAAGTATCCCATACCTATTCATCCTTATGAAATGGTTTATTCGTTCGGGGAATGTTTGGAAGTTTGATAAATATTATTTTTTAAAATATTATTTATTTAATAATATATTAAAATAATTTTTTTAAATATTAACATATTAAAATAATTAAAAAATAATAACTTGAAGCTAAAAAAAATCAAAAAGTTTAAAAAACATGTTTGAGCCAGCCTAAGTATTTGTCATGTCTCTAATTAAACCCACAGTTTCCCCTTCACATTTGATTTGCAGATTCTCCGTCTAGACAAGCAGTAAAATGCAAGATTGCTCGGAATGGGCACATACAAACGAGGTAGAAAAACACAAAGCACTGTCAAATATCAATAAAAATAATCAATAAATCATGATGGAAAGGAGGACACTGAAAATGAATAGATAAGATTAGAATAGAAAGTGACATTGATAGCCAAGCAGGTCCCATGTTTATATACATATTTGTAGGCAAACAAACAAGCTAGGGCTATTTTCCCTCGGCATTTATCTCTCCCAACGTTACAGCGTCCACATAGGAGGAGGAAAATTAGAAAGCAAACAAGGAAAAGAAGACAAAGGAGTGAAGAAATAGTGGTTTAAGAAAATAAAATACGAACCCTCCACTAGTCCTGCGGCTTGGCGTCCAGGCAACTTTAATTTGTCCTTGCTACTTTCCTACCTTTCTTTTCCCCTCCTTTCTTTTACATCAAAAGCCCTTTGAAATGATATATGGAAAACATCTCCCTCTTTTCTAGGAAGTTATTGGCAAGATAGCCAAGTGGAAACATAAAGGGATGAAAGGAGTAAATGGGCTAAGCATAAATTTCTTACTTCTCAAAATGGAGCCGTTGAGGTTCGATAGAGGGTGTGCTTTTTTGGTGGCTGAGCAGGAGCTGCTGCCAAGAACTGTAATCGCAAGTATGCATCACAAATTTAAATGCCATGATGTGATCTCTTGCTTTGTGTAAATTAACGTTCCATATCTGGAAATAAAAATGTGTGTGTGCGTGTGTGTAAACATTCCTCTTCTACAGTACTGACCCTTTCTTGCTGCTTTCTAAGCTTGGCATTCTCCTCTCCTAACAGAGCAACTTTAAGTTCCAACTCGGTCGTGTAAGCCTGCAAAAGGGTAAAGTAAATAAATAAAACCATTAAAGTTATATAATCATTAAATTTCACTAAAACAGTTTCTTAGAAGGAGAGAAAGATTCCTGCTTTTTTGCCCGGTACCGAGCTGCAGATTCTCTGTTCTTGATCATGCGCTCATGCCTCCGATCGCCGCCAGAAACGTCACCGTTTTCTTGAGGCCTTTTTCTGCAAATGGAAGGGAACAATGAAGAAGAACCCAAAGAATCAAAGGGGGTATCGAAAGAAGAATAAAAACTTGGTGTGCCAGCACCAGCACCAGCATGGCTATGCATTTGTGTGGATTTGACCTCAAAGGGACAGTCCTGCTTTCCAGATATTGAAAATGATCATACCCATAATTCAAATTCAGCATAGTAGCTGGTGGTGGCCCTAAAGCGTTCTTCAAGAAATTGTTGCCCCCACCAGATGAGGGCTCCTTAGAGGCAACCCTTGTTGGCGTGTCTTTATTGGAAGATCTAGCCAAGAGGTCTTGAAACATCATACCATGAAAAACATGGTCGTCGGTGTTGCTGTTGCTGCCCGTGTGACTATTTGGATGTTCATGAAGAGAAGCTAGGTTTATATCATTCCAAACTTCTTCCATCGAGTTTCCAGTCGTTGATTGGTTTGCTATTGGAGAAGGAGAGGACAAAGTTGAAGGAGATGAACATGTCTGAAGGGATTTTGACTTCGAATTACTAGAGGCTTTATTGGTGCTCATGCTGTTTTTATTTATATTTTGATCTCCTGCCACTGATCACATACTTTTACAAGGAAACACGGATCAGGAGGCCATGCGAGAGGAGATGTGACTCGGAGTGACTGGAGATGAAGAGATACTTCTTCTCCTCTTTCTGGTTGATATGGGGCCGTACGAGAGGAGATTGGACTAGGAGTCACTGTAGATGTAGAGATATTTCGGTTTCTCTTTATATGGGGCCATATTACGTTATATGGTGTGTCTTTAAAATCCTCCAAGTTTTAAATTCCTATTACTTTCTTTTCAAGCCATATCAACAACAACAACAATAATATATATATAAAAAAAGTATGCAACGTAATCTTCTGTCCTGGTTTGTCACGAATTTATATGGAAAAATTAATGGAAAGTGAACGATAGTATTTAATTAAAAATAAAAATAAAAATTATTATAATTAATTAACAAAAAGATATAAATTTTATATATCATATTACAATTATCCCGTTTTCCAGTTAATGCATCTCGAATCCTTAAAATCCTTATTTTATTAACTCGAGCTTTTTCTTACTAAAATTTACATAAGAAACAAAAAAAATAAATAGAAATCAGCAAAAATTATGTTTTACCGACCTTTAAAATTCATAAATAGCCAATTGTTTGTTTTTTTCCTTGACCAGAATAATAACGTAATTATAAATATGTGTTGTTTAAGTTGCGGACTTGGACTAATATGTGTTGTTTAAGTTGCGGACTTGGACACAAATTTACACAAAGTCCCAATTGGGTAGGCAGCCCAAAAATGGAAGAAGAGGTTAGATGGATCAATACAGGCTTGCACTTCTTTGATCACTTCCGATTATGAGAGAGATAAAATAAATAAAGGATTTTATTTTGATTTCTCTATCAAGATTTTTTTTTTTGGAAAAACCTTAAAAAAAAATTGATACAACCGTTTCTCTCTTTCTTTTTTACTAATTTATTTTGACCGAAGATTTATTATACATATATATTTGATGTGGATATCACCTATTTTGTTAATCTAGAATTTAAACCGACGCGGTTGAATAAAAAAAATTAGATAATCCTGTTAAAAATTTAAGCTGACCTGTAATCCTTCTTGCTTCCGTGAAACCCATCAAATCACCTTGTTGAATTTTTAATTTTTTATTTATAAAATGATGTTTTCATGTATTTATTTAAAAAGAATCTGAAAATCAACTCGAGTGGATTTTCCAACTTACGATATTAATCTTGTCCGGAGTCAATCCCATAACAGGTTTTATATATGAAAGGAAAGAATATAGCTCCAAGGATAATGACTAATCGCACTCGTGTTACTCGAACCGTATGTATTTATGAATTTAACGAAATCTTGGATCAACTGTGGCTTCGAACTTGGGCATCAGATATAAATCGTGAGCAATTTATTAGGAAAAAAAAAAGATTGTGGATGGATCATTGCCTGGAGAAAATACTTTGGTAATTTTCTTAAAACTTTTTTCCTTAAATCTATATGAGTTATATTCAAATTAAAATAACGCTTAGAAAAATAAAAGGGTTTCACTTTTGATCTTTGTTTTGACTCGAGGTTCATTAATTAATTGAATGTATAAAAGAAGAAGAAGCGAGTGACATAAACCATTGTCTAGGAGAGATCTACAATAAATTGAAAAATCCTTGGAAGAAAATCAAGCATTTATTTTTCTCTGATGAGTAAAATTACATGATTGCGATTATGTTCTTTCTTAGTTATATATATATATATATATATAGCTTCGGGACCATTTCCTCTTTGCTCCCCCTCCACTCGCAATTTTAATAATGAATGGTTTTTCAATTTTATTTATCATGTATTAATCTTACAAAATAGTGAGATGACAAATGGATCTGATTTGACAAAATTGCCCATGTCACTAGCTAGAGCCTGGAGGAGCAACGCGTGCGGCTTGGGAGTGGCATGTTTTGGGGTACATTGGGCCTCCAGGACCAGGCCTGAATGAGGCCAACTACTGCACAAGTTCTCTATGGGCCGTTTTAGTCCGAGTAAACTTTGAAATCCATAATGATCTTGAGCTTGAATCCATCACGGGCCCAGATAAGGGGAAGCGCTCACATGCGCTTCAAGCTGATAGGACGGGCACTGTCTTTCTCCATCGCTCTTTCCTTTGTTTTTCTTGTCTTATATGCCCAAAAAAAAAAAAAAAACACCCTACCAAACATTTTTGACAATTTCAGAAAGGAAAGGCAGTTGGAAAAGAGGGCCTAATGCAACGCTGAGCAACCTTATCATCTCAAGCAAAGCGTGCAAGTGGCTAACGACCAAAATTAATGTATTAAAATACTGGTCACATCCCTGGCTTGCATAGCACTCACCTAACACTATTTTGTAAGCATTAGTAATAGGCAATTATTAATATAATATTGGTTCTAGACGATAAATCCCAATCTCCAATTATCTTGTTTTTGCTTAAAAATTAGGACCGTATCAATATAAAAAAAATGGTTCCTCAGCCACGACAGATTTGAATATCCTGCCATGTGGTTGTTGTTACTAGGAAGTTTATGTTTGAAATTGTCATGTAAGTATTTTTTGATTAAGAATATATTAAAATATTTTTTTATTAGGTATATACACATTAAAATAATAAAAAACACTAAAATAAATTAACTGAAAAATTATTTTAAAAATTTTAAGAAATAAGTACAAACTACACCCTCAAATCGTGCAAAAGTCTCCTGGAAAAATTGGTTCGCAAATCCTGAGAATCTTCGGGTTAGAATTTATTAATTTAAAACGTATCATACCCTGCTTGATGATATCTGAGGCTGTTGCCAAGAAATTTCAGTCATTGCCCGGTGAAATTTTATTTTATTTTTTTCAAAAAATTATTTGTCAGAAGAAAAAAAAAGCGTATAAAGCGACGAGATATTGTTTTTGGGTAATAAAAATATTTTTTTACGAGATATTGTTTTTGGGTAATAAAAATTAATTTCACGGTTTTTGTACTACCTTACTATTTGGGATTCAAAAAAAAAAAAAAACTCTTGAATTCATGAGGCATATAGTAACTGTACCTGATAGTCAAGAATACACGTCTCTATTATTGATTTTTCGAGCTCAAACTTTAAAATTAATATATCGCGAAATTCATTGAATTATTTTGAAAAATCATGCGAGGTTATTCCTTAAAATCACATGAAAAAGAATATAATCGAGGATATTCCTTATAGTTGAAAAAAAAATCAGAGAAATTTAGTAGTCATTCAAGCAAATTGATATTACTACTGTTCACTCAACAACCCAATTATGATACCATAACTAACGACATAACTAAATATGTGGTAGCCGTGCAGTTCAAAGTCCAGATAAAGGCATGGTCACAATGCATATGAATTTAAGTTGATCAATGGGAATAATTTAATCCACTTTGTTAGGAAATTATATATATATATATATACATAAACAATAATAATATAATCAATCTACCGGTGGTCCTATTAGCCTGACCTCAAGGACGCAAAAAAAAACAATAATAATATAATCAATCTACCGGCGGTCCTATTAGCCTGACCTCAAGGACGCATCATTAAATAGACATTCCTCCCATAGTTAAACATACTCGAGAGAGCAGCTTCTTCTCAAGTGACCCATTTTTCCCCTGCCTCTGTCCGAGCAGAGCCTCGAGTCTCAGCTTATGGCTCAAACAACTCCAAACCACACGCAGACTGTTTCTGGCTGGGCAGCCCTCGACTCTTCTGGCAAAGTCGTCCCTTACACTTTTAAAAGAAGGTAATTAGCAGTCAGTTTCATAGATTTTTTACAGTATATTTGTTCCTCATACTATCAAGGAAATCAGCAGTAAACAATGGGCTTGATTTGTGTAATGAACAGGGAGAATGGTGTCAACGATGTGACCATAGAGATTATGTATTGCGGCATATGTCATACGGATCTCCATTTTGCAAAGAACGATTGGGGCATTTCCATGTACCCAGTTGTCCCCGGGTAACAAGTCTTTAAAGTCTAATGCCTGTCGTGCAAATGAGATACCAAGTCCTGTGTATTTGTGTTTTTCTTCAAAGTTTTAATGTTTTCGCTGTATGATAGGCATGAAATTACTGGGATAATCACGAAGGTGGGGAGCAACGTGAACAAGTTCAAGTTGGGAGACAGAGTTGGAGTGGGGTGCTTAGCAGCTTCATGTTTGGAGTGTGATTTCTGCAAGAGCTCGCGTGAGAATTATTGTGACCAAATACAGTTGACTTACAACGGTATTTTCTGGGATGGTAGCATCACTTATGGTGGCTACTCTAAATTCCTGGTTGCAGATCACAGGTATTGAACAGTCTTAATTATTAATTAATAATCCACTTCAATGTCCTCAACCACCACCTAACATAAATTTGTCATGTTCTTCATGACCTTCGTGTGGAAAATAAAAGTGAAGTGGGAAAGTGATGAGCTGCAATATTATTTGTTAATAACAGTCGTTTTCTTGTGCGTGCAACGACTTCATCACCGAATCCTTTATTTTTAGCAAAACCTCGTATTGCCCTCTAACTATTGCTGAGATCTGAATTGACTTCTCAATTATTTTTTAAATAAAAAATAGAGTACAATTTGGATAGAATTTGTTGAAAACATGAATGGAAGAATTCGATCCAGAATTTCTCACAACTTTAGAGACCCCAATGAAACAAGAATTTGTTTGTGAATGTCTATTTGGAATGTTTATTTGGAATTGTGATTGTGGTTATAGTTAAAAGTATTTTTTTATTTAAAAATGTATAAAAATAATATTTTTTATTTTTTAAATATTATTTTTGAAATCAAAATAATTTTAAAATATATAAAATATTTTTTAATAAAAAACATTTAAAATTTAAAGAAATGTGGATTCAACTATACTCCCAAACGGAGCCTCAATCAAGAATTATTATATAGATTGGGAACTTATTTTAGGGTCCTCCATTTTTCAATGCAAACATGTATGAGAGAAGAGGGGTATCTCTTCCATCCATGTGACCAAATTAAATATATTTGATCTGGGGCAAGTAATTTTTGTCTTATCGTAGGAGGCACTTCGTTGATTGAAAATTGTTAAGAAACTACATTTTCTTATTTTGCTAAATTTCTACACGAAGGTATGTGGTGCGGATACCAGAAAACCTGCCAATGGATGCAACAGCGCCCCTCCTCTGTGCAGGAATTACTGTATTCAGCCCTTTCAAGGAAAGCAACTTGGTCGAAACACCAGGAAAAAGGGTCGGGGTGGTTGGTCTCGGAGGTCTAGGACATGTAGCTGTCAAGTTTGGCAAGGCATTTGGTCACCATGTAACTGTGATCAGCACCTCTCCGTCTAAAGAAAAAGAGGCCAGAGAACGCTTGGGAGCTGATGATTTCATTGTCAGCACCAATGCCCAAGAACTTCAGGTGTGTTATCCTCTACTTCCAGTTTTCCACCAACCAAATTATTGTCCCTATATAATTGCTTGTCCCCTTGTAGCTAGAATGGCTGTCGATTTGATTGGTCATTGGCCATCGAAAAGTCAGGTAAGTGGGATGGGCCCTCGGATCTCCATACTGTATGGATCACAAATTGATCACTAATCTAAACTCTTTTCCGAATTAATTTTTAAGTCCAGTATAACAACCATGTGCTTTCTCTGGTATTCATTGTCGGCCGAGTAATTATAATAAATTAGTTAATCATGTTTGATAATTGGTAGTTACAGAAATTATATTTTAACTTCTGTATTGTAAGATTTATTTACAATTTAGTCCTTTTATCAATTTCATGTTATTTTTCAATAAGTTCTGTTTTCTAGAAAAAATAAAAGAGATAAAGAATAAATGAGTAAGAAGATGTATTTTTTGGATGGCAGGCAGCGAGAAGAACTCTAGATTTTATTGTGGATACAGTGTCAGCTAAGCATTCTCTGGGGCCAACACTAGAATTACTCAAAGTAAACGGGACATTGGCAGTGGTATGCGCACCAGACCAGCCGATGGAACTGCCAGCTTTTCCTCTGATATTCGGTAAATTAACGTTTCGAAGCTAAGTCGATTCATATGTAATCGAATATGGAACAGTAAAACAAGTGTTCTTCTCTTTTGCTTTCTTGTTTGTGTGCATAACGCAGGCAAGAGATCTGTAAGGGGCAGCATGACAGGATCAACAAGCGAGACCCAAGAGATGCTGGATGTGTGTGGCAAGCACAACATAACTTGTGACATTGAGCTTGTGAAAACAGACAACATTAATGAGGCTTGGGACCGCCTTGCAAAAAACGATGTCAGATATCGTTTTGTCATTGACATTGCTGGAAAGTCTTCAAATCTTTAGAGATACAGAAGCGCTCCCTCACATGAGAGTATTCCTTTTCTAAATTTCGTGGGCATATTTCTTTTGTTTTCGTGTGTCGCCGGAAATAAACAATTATTGCAAATTTCGGTTGGATCATTCTTCTTATTTCACGAGAAATGGCAATTTGTCTTAAAATTCCAAGCTTATGAATCAGAATTAGTGACCAGACTTTCATTTTATGGCAATGGAACCTGATTACGGAGGATAGAATATTTTATTGACAACTCCACATAAACAAACCAACTAAAAATCAAATTTCAAAGTTGAATGCCAAGATATCATTAATTTAATTATAATAAACCTAAATTTAATATACAAAAACTTTAAAAAATAAAATAAAAATTATGGGTTTGACTACCATTCTCAAACCCAATTTCTACTATGATACATGGGCTCAAGTATGATAACTCAAGCCCGTACATCTGGGCTCAAACATGAAATTCTAACCCCACCGTCTGGTGTAGATTAAAATGGAGCTATTAGCTGATTTTTCCCTTCATTGCACGAGTCTCAATCATGATAACTCAAGCCCATAATGGGTATACATCTGGGCTCAAACATGAAATCCTAATCCCACCGTCTGGTGTAGATTAAATTGAGCAATTAGCTGATTTTTCCCTTCATTGCACGATACCCTTTTGATCCCTGCCCCCACCTTCGGCCGACTTGAAGACCTAAAATCAGACACAATTTCTTCCCATTGATAGAAAATAGCAATCATATTATCCTGTACTTCTCTCAACTTTTCCCCATTTAATTTGCTTATGATTGCTGGGTATAGTGAGGAGTTGATCTCAATCACTAGTTTGAATCTTCATACCACAATTACAAACTCAACAATTATAATTTTATAGTTAAGGAGGTATGCTCTATTCCTTAATTTTTGGGTTCAACTCTTAAGATCAACACCCAGTAAAATTTATTAAATTTCTTTCAATTTATAGGACTGATGTGAGAATTCACTCTTAAAATCACATAAAAAAATTTAGTCTCGAATGAACGCATAAAATAGCTTGAAAATATCTCTTATCATAAAAAAAAAAGATACAAAAAAAATATTTACTGACTTCTAATTCTCAATATCACGACCCATAATAATTAGGGCATGAATAAATAATGGAAGGTTCCCAAACCCTAGAGAAATCCCAGTTCATAAACCGCCCTTGTTGAGAAGAAATTGCATAATCAGTTGGAAACAAACAAATATGTGGCCTCCTTTTAATATCACATAGTAAAGCTAGCTCAAATCTTAATTCTGTCCGGTTGCAAGATGCCTAGGAGTGGAAGCAAGAATGTCTTTGAAGTTTCAAGGCAAATGCCTGCTCCGAAAGCAATCATATCGCGTGCTACTATAGTCGGTCTCGGTATGTAGATTTAGGCTGGGTTTATAAATTTTGAGGGGTTAAGACACAAGTTTGCAAACGTCTTTTTGCCCACTAAACGTGAATAACAGGGAGAGAACAATCAGCCGCAGACTAGTGCCTAGTTCAGCAGACGAGTATGCTGACGGCTCATCAAGCTTATCCTATCTCCTTTCTGTTCCCTACATTTTTAACCCCGAAATGGTGGATTGAGTTTGAGCATGTTAAGTGAAGTAATTACCGATAAAAGTTTTTTTTTCTTTACCCTTCTTTTATTACATGGAGGGATTAAATCCTATAAATCGAAACTATCAAACACAATTTAGGAAAATTAATTCCATGAATATCTCGAAGAATGACAGGAACAATTTGGGGATGACGAAGCCATAAATTTAATAGAGAACGGGATTTTTTTCTTCCTATAAAGTTCTTATAAAAACTTCACGCCACTAGATGTAGTTTGTTTTTTGTTATCTTATATGACATGATTCCTAACTAATGTGGACTAAATGGCATCTAAAAAGTGGAAATATCTGACGAGTTCCTTCGCATCTTGGATGATTTGACGGGGAAAAAAAGCTTGCAAGTCTATTGTCAATTCCTATCAAAATTGAAGGTTATTAAACCCAATTTAATTTATGACTTGATCCAAGATCTGGGTAATGAATTCAGTTGGTTGACGAAGATTAAATCAAAATATTGAATTCAGTTTTAAATTTTTTAAAAACAATCAAAGTAATTTTGTTTTGAATTTTTATTAACTCCTAATTAATTTAATTTAAAACCTTACTTGAATTAGGTTATTAGTTAGCAGGTCAACATGCCAACCCATCAAATTACAACGTGTTTGATAAAACTGGGAGGAACAACTAGGTAACAAATATCATGACGCACCCATATAAATGCTTTTATTTTTGAAAGTGGAGACCGAGTTCATGTCCTTAGCTGGAAGGGTTCAACAACATAGAAGAACTAATAAGAGATCGGTGGCCATTACTTAAAGATACAGTGTAGACTAAATTAAGGACTACAAATTCAATCATCTTACATCTTTGATGATATACTTATAGCATCGGTATTAGCATGCACAATATCACAATATTTTTTGCTTAAGTTTCAAATACTCTCGATGGTAGCTGGAAATTGCGATTTTTAATTACCAAGCAATTAAGAAAAAGAAGGAAATTAAGTAAAAGGAAAACTCTATATTTTCCAGAAGTATTTTTCCCTGGGGAGTTTCGAGACAAGTACTTTAAGAAAAATAGCATCATCATCTCACATGCACAAAAAATAAATAATAAATATTTATTTGAAAGTATAATTATAATTATTTTTTACTTAAAAATATATCAAAATAATATTTTTTTATTGTTTAAAAATACTTTTTGACATTAGTATATTAAAATAATTTAAAAATAAAAAAAATATTAATTAAAAATAAATTAATTTTTTTTAATTTTTCTTAAAAATATTTTAAAAATAAACAGGATTTTAATAAACATGACCGTCTCATGTCAATCCTAGCAACAACCTCTTCTCTTACTCGCTTTATCGTCCTAGAAATTTCAAATCCTCTCGAACTGTATGTAGAATGTCCATATTCAAAGCAACGGATATTTTGAAAATTTGTACGCGGCAATCAACACAGCGCTGAAACTTCCTGAAGAAAGCTTCTTTTTTATTTTTCTTAATAAACGTTCTAGATTTTATTTATAGAAATTCAATTATATTAAGATAATCAGCGGATGATCTATATTTTTTAAATATTTTTAACAAATTAATGATTGTAATAATCAGTATTATTAAACACAGTCTGATTTAATAGGTTAATCTTATAACTCATCAATTCCAATCTTGATATGAGTTAAGTTTTAAAATAAATCAAGTGGTAATTAACTTAGTCAAATTAAATTTGATAGGCTAAGTTATGATTTAGTTTACTCTATTAAAACTTGATTTTATATTTTACAATAATATTATTTTAATTTTATCTGTAACTTGAAATTATATTATTTTTAATTAGTTTAGAATAACTTATATAATCCATGACTCAAGAGTTCAGTTAAATTTAATAATTTAAAAAATTAAAGAAAAAAAGATTAGAGTAAGTCATAATATGTTCCACGAAAAAAAAGGAGAAGATAATAATATTATACATAATTGATTTCAAGTTAATAACGTATGATAATATTTTTTTAAAAAAAAACCTAGCTATATCGTGTCATCTCATCCTGTTCTTGGTACGTCCATTTTTGCTTGCAAAAGCTCTGTCTCAAGGCATTACACGTAAGGTAAACACAGCGTGTGAGGGATGTTATCGTGTGACAAAAGCTATTAAATAACGAAACGAGGCGGTCCTAATTTCTTCCACCTGGACTTTCTTTATCCCTCATTTCTCATTATTTTTTAACCCAAATTGCTCCATATATATATATATATATATGCCCCTAAATTCTTTAATCGAACTCTTAATCTATTTCAAGAAACCATAAAAAAGAAAAGGAAAGGATTTCATCAACATGACAAATCTTTTGTGGGTTAAGATAAGATCTATCTTTTCAAGGGCAGGTGTTTTTCAACATCACCATGTCTTTCTCGAGCTTATTTCCATCAAAATCCAAAGCATATTTTGGAAAAATCTTTATTCCATGTTTTAGTTTCTTGAAATTGTTGATTCAAGTTGCTTCATAAGTTTTCTAGTTTCGATCCTGTTATTATTGTTATTTTACAGTTTGATTCATGTTAGTTGCTTTCTGGTTTCAGGAAGATCTCCAAAGGAACGTAGCAACAGCTTAAGCAACAAGCTGAACGTTAATGAAGAGTACAATGAAGCTTTCAGGACGAAATCTTATGTAGAAATGTGGAGCAAGGTTCAAGACCAGCTAAGAAAAACGAGCATTGATGGAGTTGACAAAGTCGTCTCACCGTCTAATCCATCTCTTCCTCTATATCTTCACCTCTCTGACTATCTATCTGAACCACAACAGCAAGAGACACTCAGAGAGATGATGGGAAGCTTAAAGTTTCATCACCTTCTGGTTGATTACTTTGAAGCCATCTCAAAAGCATGCCATATTTGTGAGTTGCATCTCCAGTGCATCCAACAATCACGAGGTAATTATAAGAAAATTAGAAGGGTAATCAAGTTAAGCAAAAGGGTGCATGATTCTGCAGACTGTTCAGATAAGATTCTGGGCGCTATGTTTAGAGAGCTGGCTGCTTATGCATTGTTAGAAAATCCGTTGTCGATGTTTTTTAGCACAGAAAAATTCCTTGATTTTCATGACGACAACGTGGTGTTGCTCCATGGATTGACTTCACAAAAGAAAAGGATTATGAGGAAAGAGAAGTTCAGAAGGATTTGTATTAGGGTTGGAGGAGGATGTCTTGTGATATCACACACTGCACTTCTAATTGCCTTGCTTGTAATTGCAATTCATAGCATGGCCGGCATTGTGGCTGCACCAGGACTAATGGGCTGCTCGTTGTATGCATTCAGAAAGCAAATCAAGTTGGTTCATCGAGGGCTTGAGAAAAGCAGGTTAGAAAAAAGACTTAGCGCACAGCTAGATCTTGCTGCCAAAGGAATTTACATATTGATCAATGATTTCAATACCGTGAGCAGGCTGACGAGGAGCTTATTTGATGAGGTCGAACATCAGAAAGCTCTTGCTGATATGTGTGTTAGGAATAACAAGCCTGAACTATTGAAAGAGGTTGTGAAAGAAATTCACATTCACGACTCAAGCTACCTGGAGCAGCTAGACGAGCTTGAGCGACATATCTACCTGTGTTTTCATACCATAAATAGATTCAGAAGGCTTGTTATGGACGGGATAATGGTTGCATCCAGCAGTACAGCTGATGATCATCAGCAAAAATTCCCATGAAGACGAGGACAATATTGGGATAGAGATAGTTGCAGCAGGCGATATTTGGTGTTACAAATACAATACAGGATCCACATTGAAATTGCTTCTCCCCTGGCTCGGCTCACCTGGACTTTTGTTTTCAAATAACGTCAAAACAAGGCACGTCCAATGCCAGTTGTTAACCCTGTATTCATTAATACAATCTCCATTGATAACCCAACTTCCAGCATATTATGCTAACGCCCGATGAAATCTACGATTAATCTATATTCCCTGCTAACATGTTCAAGAAGTCCATGTGTTCTTTTGCTTGAAAAATATATTAAATTAATTTTTTTTAAAATATTTTTAATACCAGCACTTCAAAACTAATCCAAAGACACACAAAAATTAATTTGAAGCTAAAAAAATCAATTTTCAAAAAACACTATAACCGCATAACTGCAATCACAAACACCCCCAAAAATATTTTACTTCTTTCATAGTCAGAAATTACTTTGCATATTTAGCATTGTCCGATTCTAGTCAGGTATGCCTAAAGTAAATATTTTGACATAATAAATTAAGAGAAATCATCAATAAATGTAGAAATAGTTCTCTAGCAACCTGACATGTTTTATTGCCAAACAAAATAAGAAGCTGTTTTCTTGGCATCCCAGTTATTACCCATCAGGTAGCGCAAGCTCAGTCACGCATCATTGTGCTACTTGTGCAAGCTGTACCTCAATGTCCAGTATGACGAGGCCGCTTCCTATCCGCGTATTAGCAAAAGAAGCACAATCCAATTTACTGTTCTGCTTTATTCTATTTGTGGAGGAATAAAATGAACTGATAATTTAACGAGATACAATATGGGGGGAGAATTACAATTCGTCAAATTGGTTTGGAGATTAACCTGGAGGGTGTGGCCCATCAAAGGAACGGATGACCGGAGGAATTCCACATGAAGCTCGGCAATTCTTGTTTTTCTCCAAGGCCATAAAAGTTACCTAAGCATCCCTGACAGCTCAGCTCCCTTCTCTCAGTTTCTTGTATTCTTCAACGCCCAACAATGAAGCTTTGACCTTCAGCCAATCTGCTGGCTTTGGCATGATAATGGCAATGTACCCTTCCCTGTCTGTCTGCAATTTGGTCAGGAAAACATCTGATAAATTTAGATGCCGATACGATTTTGTCTACCTGGATATTTTCCTACATTTCGACATGATATGTAAGGCTACAATCAGCACCACACCATCATGTAGATTTACAGTACATTGGGCCTTATTTTGGCACAAGTTGCTATTAACTAAAAAAGGGCAAATCTTGTAAAGAGCACATGATAGTTTTCTCTGAAGAAAGTAAGAGGGAATATTAATTGATCACTAATTCAATAATGAGGTTCCTATCTGGAAAGACACTTGCATCTGAGATATGGTATGCATGGAAGAGTAAAACTTACTGAAGAGTTAAGCAATTCTGGCTGTTTGATTAGTCTGTCATTCACTTCCAACAGAGAGCCTTTAACACAACATCTGTCAAAAATCAACAATAAAATTCAACTCCAATATTAAAATGAAGTTCGGTGGGGGGAAAGGGAGTGTGGACCTGAGAAAAAAAAGTTATACCTGACAATATAAGAATCATTCTGGGTGCAAACTTTACACAGAGCAGTATTAGACTCAAAGTGCTGCGCATTCTGCAAAAGAAGATCTCCATTGTTAGTAAAATTTTGCTAAACAAGTATATAAGAAGATGAATCAACTCCTGATCCTAACTGCATCGTTACAAAACAGAAATCCAACTGGTCTCCAGAATCATTTCCCTCCAAAGCAGTCACATTACCTCTCAATGCAATCAGCTCAGGTTTCCAGTTCTGCTATGTAAAACTGGCCGATTGCACTTCCAATGATACAAAACCCATGAAACCAATGTGCACCAAATGAAACAGTGCCGCTAAAAGAAGTGGAAACTAACTGATTTTTAGATTTGATGATCTTATTCTTTCAGTGAATGACACTATAAATCCAAATTAGATGGTGGACTTCCATTATCACTACGCATCCAAACATCTAGAAAACCTAAAAAAAAAAATATCTTAATGCTTGCAACCATGTTAGAACTATAAATCCAAATTAGATGGTGGACTTCCATTTTCAATAAGCATCCAAACATCTAGAAAACCTAAAAAATATATCTTAATGCTTGCAACCATGTTAGAAATTTAAATTCCATTATCCCCATCAATTTAAAAGCCAGCAAGAGGCCCTTTTAAGAAACCAACCAGGCTCCTAGTAATGGGATTTTCAAAAGGTCTAGTTTTTACCAATTTCTTCATACAATTCGCTAAATTCTTAGGAAAGTTGCTCAATTTTTATACAGTAAAAGAGCTACAGCCATAAAAGAACAGACCTTCTTTCGCTTTCCGGTGACCTTAATGCCACTACGATCAGACTTGCCAACATTGAAATCAACAACCGTTATCCCTCCTTCATCCTTAAAAGCCACATGGGTCCGAGCCAAACCAATCACACACAACCTTTTTTCAATCCCAAAAACAAAACACATTTAATTCAACAATCAATCAAACCCTACAAATTTAAAACAAGAGTTAAAATACTACCCATTGGCATGCCTATAAACGTACTGGTCGTGTCCTGGCTTCACAAAATCTGATCCAAAATCCCACAAATCAAGCAAAGTAAGCATCATAAATTAAACAAAAAAGATAGAAGTGTAGAGTTAATCAACCTGGAGCAAAATAGGAGACGAAGTTGGTCTGAACTGAAGAGGGAGGAGTAGTAGGAAGATCACGAATGTCAGGTAAAAGCAGCTTATGCAACTCTTCTTCTTCTTCCTTTAGTTCTTGGTCTAGGTTTTGAGTGGGGTTGTTTCGTACTGGTGATTTTTCAAGATCGTTTGCTTCATTATTCATTGGAATCTCTAGAGAGGGGAGACAAGAGAGTCGACTGTGGCAGCTCGTAGGTTACAGTTGAACAGTCCTTGCCTGTCTCTGATACCTGTTACGGCTGTACAATATATCTTCTCGACAATTTTTGGGGAGGGCGCTTTGCTAAATTTTGATTTTTATAAAAAAATATTTTTTTATATTTTCTTAATAATAATATCAAATATATTACTTTAAAATATAAATATATTTTAAAAAATAATAATTACTACGCTTTTAAATATTTTTCTAAATTAATAATAATTCCAGCCTTCTAAATCTACAAAACAATCATTGTAAAATCATTAATTTTAAATTTATGTTGATTTAATCCCAAAATAAAGAATACCTCGTAGAGGGTATATTATTATTTTGAGATTAACTTTAAAGTTTATATTAAAAAATCTAGATATATTAATTTTTTTTTATAATTGTACACTATAATTAATCAAATAACCGAACCAAATTGATAAATTGAATTTAATTTTATATTTTTAAAAACTAAATAAAACCAATTTAATTCATATATATTTTAATTAAACTAAACCGAATATCTAATTTACAATAGTTTTCTTGAAATGGTCTGATAATCTCAATAACTATCCAAGATAGTGCTATGAAATTCAATTATCATTTTTTTATAATAAATGTTATTGGGTTTGTGACCATTTTATTATTCTACTAGTGAAGTGATGGACATGAAGAATTTGAAAATTCTTTGTCGGATGCAAGGATAGAGAAAGGAAAAACACAGAAAAAAGGAATTCCTTTCACTAAAAGATCGATCGAACAGACAGGCAAGCTCCCAAACAATAGCTTCAGATTAACTTGATCCCTTAAAAAGAATGAAATCACTCACAAAATGGAATAAAAATTACAAAATAATGTGTTGATGGATAGTAGTCTCGCTCACACTCCCATGAATCCACATCATCTGACCACTTTACAGTCTAGCCTGATCTCTTGTCCGCCACTGATGCTAGTCATCTTGATCATGGACTTAACAAAAGCTTTTTCAAACATCTCATGGGAGCTAGCGAATTTAGAAACCAATGCCTTGGTTTTTCTTGTTGAGAGTAGAGCTTGATCTGAAGAGAAAAGACTTTTTCCCTGGAGTAGCAACTTGTAGTAAACGTTGTCGAATGTGGTTGTTGAAGAGTCCATTGTAGCACCTGCATTTTTTACCTTATTGTGTGCAGGACAGACACTCCTTAGACTGCTTCCAAAAGATGGGTTCAAAGTTGGATCCACGTCGAGAGTCGCATTGAAGTTGTGGATTCTGTTCTGGAATGATGAACAATGAGAGAACCCAAGAGTGTGACCTCCTACACGCATACATGTTTTTGATCAGCTGTACGATTTTGTAATGGATCAATGTTTTCATGATGGCCATTGAATATGTTACCTGAGAGAGCTACTAGATCCTTCAAAGAAAGACCTCTTTGGGAGAAGCTTTGCTGTAACTGGGAAATGTTAAAGGTGGGAGCTGGTAATTGCCTGGTTTCGCTTGCCTTCGAAATTCTTCCATCTTTTCTTCCTTTTGGCACATCCCAAGTGGGACCTCCAGACTAAGACACGCACACATCAGATGTCAATAATCTAAGCCAAGGTTGAAGGTTATAAGTTAATAGACAGTTGCAATAGCACAGCTGCCATTATCATCACTGTTACTGAGTTTTTGTATTGTTGGAGGAACTAATTACCAAAGCTACTGCATCTCTTGCGGCAAGAGCCAAAATATCAGCACAAGAAACCACGCCAGGGCACAAAGCTTCCACCGCTTTCTTTGCATTATCAATAACATAAAATGCATGCAATGAAATGTTAGGAGGCCCATCTTTCTCCGCTTTGTTCTTGCCCTTGGATGCCAAGAGCACAGAAGCATCACAACCCTTCAAAATGCAACCAAAAGGAAATCAAGTAAGCTACCATTAATTTTTAAAGAACTGATATATGTAACTGTAAACAATGTCAGTAATTACTCTGATAAAGCAATCATGAAACTGCATCCGAAGTAGCGCAGCAGGAACTGTTTTGTCATTCATCATTGCCTTCTTGACAGCATGAGTAACAGCAGACTCAAGCTGAGGGCAGGTCTGTTCATAGTAGTTTGAGCTCAGGGCACTAACAGAGGAAGACATTTGGAAAATGACCAGAAGAGCAAATACAAGACCAACCGCCGCCGCCATTGTTTCAAAAAATTTGAATCGAACTCCTTATTCTTGATCCTCTGTTATCTATGGAACTCAACTGAAAGAGATAGGTATTTATAGCAGAGACTCGAGAGACAAGACTTGCATCAGGGTTGTTAGTGAGGGATATGGTTGTTAGCAAATTTGGTGATCAAGAACCTTATTAGTGGAGTGGTGTTGAAGCATGCACCAAAAAAACACAACCCTTGTCACAGTTTTGTTGTTTGTTTCATTCTTTTAAAAAGAAAGTTGATGCTACACTGGAGGCTTGCCTCTTGACTTCCGTTCTAAAAATTATTGGACTGCATTTCAAGCCATGTTACATTTGATCATCAATCAATGATATTCTTTTTGTTGAAGTAGTGCTGAAGCATCCTTAATTATGAGAAAACAACCCATTTATCGAGCCTTAATCAGCTAGTTTGAGCTTATTACTCTTAACGTGTGGCTAAAATTCATGTTTTATATTGGCTAGTTTTTACATATTAGCATTAGATTACTTTCTTGAAATATTAAAGAGACGAAGATTGTGGAAACAGAGAGGTCGTATTCCTCTTATACCCTTTTGTTTTGAAATAATAAAGATTCATTTTAAAATTATTTTAGAGATAACTTATTTTGTTTATCCATGTCTCTTCGATCAAATACTTTTTCTTTCCATGCAAACTAAATTTACTCATCTCTTCGATCAAATACTTTTTTTTCTTTCCATGCAAACTAAATTTACTAGTTCTGTTTAATGAAAATTGAGAATGGTCTCATACTGGATCACAAACAGTTGAAACCAGGGGAACGTGTAGGTGGCGGCCCAGATTACCTGCTTATAACTTTCTTCAAGCAAGATTATAAATACGTAAAGTGCGATCACTGGAGCAGAAGAAACTAACCCCACAAGAGCTTTAAAAGAATATGTTTGGTGGATGAGGTTGAACAAACAAAGGCATTCTTGCATAATTTAAGCTTAGTCAAGCTTTTCATGGGGTATCTATGTATTCTATGGGTCTAAATCAACAACCTGATAAAATTCAGATTATATTTTCGAATTTATATTTCATTGACGACCTTAGAAGTTGAAATCATCAATAGGTTCAATCACTTTCAGATTGTACAGCAGGAGACGCAAGTTAGCTGGAGGAATTTCAAAATTAAACCTTGAAACTGCTGTTTTTAATTATCATTTTTTCTATTATAGTGTACTTTGATGTCTTTAAACCATAATTGTAAAATCCAGATGGACATGGAGCTGATCTGGACTTGGATCGGTTCGAATTGAAAAAAAAATATTTGCTGATATAGTAAAAATTAGCACCAATAACAGAAACACGGAGGGCTAGCAGGGCCCCGTTCCCTACAAGAAAATTGTTTTTCCAATTCTTTTTTAACAATATTTATAATTTTAGTCCAAATCTTGGCCCCCCCCTTAATTTTATTTTATGGCTTCTCATCAAACTTAATCTTTAACTCATTGATTTTTTTAATTAAAATAATATTTTTTTAATTCATGAATCAACTTGTATGTCAGGTTTGATTTCAAATTAATCTGGATTAGGTTTTATAACTATATTTCAATATAAAATTAATGCAGCTATTATATATTCCAACATGATAAGGATGAATAAGATAGTATCTTCAATATTTGAAGGGATTTGCATATAATACAATATGATATGAGTTAGGGTCAGTCAGTCCAGCCAAGGGTCAAGTGCTATCATGTCGAGTGTCCTGACCCTTTGATGGAGTGGAATATAACTTTTAGTCCTTTGTTGTTTATTAAAAACAAAAAAACAAAACACTAACTATTTAGTTCCTGCAGTACAAAAGTTGATTTAATTGACCAATTAAAGAAAAGGATTGTTATAAAGGAATTTTAAAATATAAGGATTAAATGATATAGATTTTTAAATCACAATGACAAATTGATTAGTTTCATTAAATGCATCGAGATTCAAGAGTTAACCTGAAGAATCTTAAGTGAGATCTAACATTATCAACTTAAAAAAATCTTTATTTTTATTTAAAATAATATTGTTTCAATATTCTTCTAAATTTTTTTTGTTGAAATTATATTATTTTATTTAAAAAAAATATAAAAATTATTATTTTATAATAAACATGATATTTATATAATAACTAGTAACTCAGTCTTCTATTAGGTCATTTATTTAATTGGATTCGAATCCTGGTGTGCACACCTGTCATTCTCGCGATACCTTACATGTTTATTGGGTTTGCAGGATATTCAGTAGGTCATAAAAATTAATCGTGGTGAGTGTAAGCTGGCCCGGACACCCGGATAAAAAAAAAAGTAGGAATATAAAAGCTTAAGACTGAAAGCTTTGTGCTTAGATTGACTTCTACGTTTCTAACCCTGAAGCTTGCAATCAGTTACATGGATTTATTATGTTGTGATTATTTTTTTTAATCCTAGATCAGGCTCATTTTTCAAAAGAAATCATATTACTACAGGCTGGAAAAGATAAAAATTTCGCATGGTTAAGCGGAGGTTTACCGTTGCGTGAGCGGCTGAGGACCGAAGAGGAGGGGAACTCAAAGACCCGATAAGAAGTAGGCATCAGTTGGGCCTCCAAACACACCAAACTTGTGGCCTGCCTATGACCCTGTGTTTATCAGGATACAAGTGTTTGAGTTAGTCCCCAAACTATAACTATTTTCTCAACAGATCCCCAACTGGATTATTTGTTTACCAATTGGGTCACCGTTGTATTCAGGAATTCCCAGCACTATCTATAGATTGGGGACCCAGTTGAGAAGAAGTTGTAAGTTGGGGACTAATCTGAGGTTACCTTTTCTATATTTTCACAAATGATATGTTAATTTCGTTGGCAAACACTGAAATACAAGGATGAGAAACATAACCTTGAACATACCCTGTGCCTTCTGGTTCGTGAAACATTCCTGCAATGCGTTTTGTCGAGCAAAAGCGAAAAACAGTCATCAAATCTATTGGTGGATCGATTCTTCTATCTCATAGAATCATGTTACAAGCATATGAATTGGAAAAAGAAAAAAGAAATCTTTTATTTTACAAGCTTAAGATAACCCAGATAAAGATATTATTTATATGATTAAGCTGCAAATTGATTGCGCTTCTTATTAAGCCGCAACTATATACTACTCTGCAAACCCCTGATCTCCAAATGTTCCGTGTCGAACTTAATTTGCTTCCTTGGATTGGAAAGCCCAACAGCTCAGGAGAAGCTAGCCTTGACTTCATGGGATCACCTCCTTACCCTCCCTCTTCAAAGCACAATCCAGAGCCAGAACAGTACTGTCCCGGCCAACATCAAGGAAAAGAAAAAATTGTGGCGGGCTACTCTATTAAAATTACAAGCAGGCCTCGGCCAATTTAGAGGCTGAACTCTAAAGCTGCTGATGATTAATTTAGAACTGTACTGAGCTTTGGAAAGTCTGGCCAAACCCCCAATTTGCTGGAACAATGCCTGTAAAGAATCGAGTCTGTCCATCAGTAGTGGTGACCTTAAAGGACAAAGATTGGCCATTGAGATAAGCATTAGATTGCCAATTAGCCCCCCAGTTTCTTGACATTGCCAGCCAGCCTGTTTTTGACCCTTTAATGGACACAGATTGAATGGATCCAGCTCCAGCTACATTGGTAATCAAGACGAGCTCAAAGTAGTTTCTTCCATTAATTGTGAATCTGACTCCACCATGCTTCTTGCAAGGAACCCTGCAGCATTAAACCGCATAGAATATTTGATTATATATATAAAAAAGAAAATTGGAAAAAGGAAGTATAGCCAGTGAATCTGATTAGTACTATACATACTTTTGGAACAAAACAGGCACGATCCCTCCCCTATAAATACCAATCTTTTCCCAAGCAGGCTGGGCCATATCGAAATGCTGGAGGGGAGGGTTGCACCAGCCTCCATTGTTGTTGGGAAGAGCAAAATTCGGGGGGCAGAAATTTGTTGCAGTAATAGTCACAGACTTCCCTTTAATACACCATCTGGAATCCGTTTGGAAATCACACATAATTCTGTAGCATTCTCCACATGAAGCTCCATCATTGAACAAAGCAGTGCTTAAAGCGGCAGTCCTAGTCCCATAACCAGTAGAATACAAGTTTCCATATCCACAAGCCCCTCCTGTAGAAGTGAAATGTTATTAGCTGTTGTGAACCCAAAGAACCATGAAAACAAGAAAAGATATACGAAGTGTCGTTACATTACGTACCCATAGTTCCTGAGGCATCACTACCTCCATAAAATGTAGCATGACCTTTCATCCATCTTGATGGGGCAAATGCATTAACATTGATAGCAAAATAGTTGCAGAATTGCAGCCAGATTGCAAATGCAAGAAGCAGTTTTCCCATTTTTTGAAAAGATAGATACTGCAGAAACAATGATAAGAGAATGGAGAGTGAGGATTGCTGATAGCTAGTGTATTTACATTTGCAATGACAAGAACCGCCTCTATAAATAAGGTAACAGATGTGGCAGACTTCCTTGACGCAACATCACATGTGACCTCTGTTAAACTTGTAAACCTTATTACGCTTGAATTATCTCTGAAAGAATGCAGAATTCTGAACCTCATTCAATTATTCCCACGTTCTCATTCTCTCTTGTTGCATGTCCACATGCACTCACCCAGCAAAGAAGCCGGGAAAAAATCAAAATCCACAAGACAAGTTGCTTCTTTTAATTTTTAAGTTGGTGGTATTTGACAGCATATACATTTTTTTTTCGTAGATCATATCATGTTGCCTCACATGGCAATGCCTTGACCCTATGATGCAATGATATTAATCATGTCTCATGAGCACATGACTTGCTCTTTTTTTTTTTGGACAGCAGACGGTGATGTGTTGGTATATATTTCTCCTGTTTAGATCTGTTTATACAAGGTTTAGGCTCAAGCAAATCATCATGATTTTTACTGTTAATTAAATTTATCAAAATTAAAGCACCCAACTCCATGTAGGGAGGGATTAGTGATCATACTAATATTTCAATCGGCTAAGTTTAATTTAATCATAAGGCCTAATTATATTTTGTATTAAAACGTAACTAATTAACATGTTAATGAGTGTATTTAATATTGTAATGCATAATATTTTTTAAAAGTATTTTTATTTAAAAATATAATAAAATAAATTTTTTTAGTTTTTTTAATAGTAACAAATCAAAATTAAGACACATAAAAAATAAATTAATTTAAATTTTTTTTAAAACAAATATATTTTTTTAAAATACATAAAAACGAAAGCAGCTGCTAATTGAATAGTGCTAATCTTATTGGAAATTCTTCTCGGAATATCTTACCGGACAAAAAAAACCCATTGAATTCATGGGATTTATTAGCAGAATCAACTAATTAAATATATGAATATTTTCACGAAATGATTTTGGGAAAAAAATTCAATAAAATTTATTAGCACTGCTGTATACTCCCCCAAGTTCCATCTGCCATTTCACTGGACTTGGTCTCATGATTAAATTTGACTGTTTTATCGGCAATGAGTAGGTAATTGTGGGAATGGGATTAAGAAAAAGTAAAACAATTGGGATTCGGTAATCGTACAAGTAGGAACTCCATGAAGTTTAATCAATCAACAAGCACATTTCCATGTAGTTGATTTGATATGATAATAAAAAGTCAAAAACAGAACATGGACTTATGAGTACATTAGGAGTTTCCTTGTTATGTGGCAAAAATGATTGGAATCATATGGTCCACATGAGATTAGCTGATCGGACGGGAGAGATTCCTGTTTTCCGATATAAAAAAATAAAAAAATATTGATTTACGAGTATATTTCTATGTGGTGTGGGTAGATAGATTAGAAATTCGGGATCTCTCGTTTTTCGTTTTGTCCCTGGCCCCTTAATCTCTTGATACGAAGAAACACCTGGAAACAAAGACATGACCAAAGTACCTTAGTCTTCCTGGATTTCTGTATCATGCTCGGTTCTGTAATGTGGAGTCATATGACACGTCAGGCCTAGTTTTAGAGACCAGATTGGGAGCTTGTAAGCTGTAGCTCGATTTGTATCCATACCACTTCTCTTGAAGAGGTTTCGGGTTTGACCCTCTCTCTTGCAGCGTAAATGTCTCGAGTCTCCTCCGATATATCAGCCACCCATTTGCATGATCAATCTTAGCTTTAATTGCTCCATCACGGATGGCCTTTGCTACGATGTTTTCGACTTAGTGTTATCAGGACTGGACTGCGCAACGTCAGCCTTGTATTTCCCCTGCTAAACTTAGGCACAGAACAGTTAAAAACACAAACAGATTACTTTTTCTCCTATTTTTTTAAACAAACGATCCATAAGAAGTGATCAGAAGCAAATTCCATACCTGCTGACTTGAGCGTTATCGGAATTTTGGTGCCTTTGACCTCAATTTCTCTGCCTGATCATATAGGTTGTAATGCAGGTAAGTACAAAGCAACAGATTGAGAAGTGTTTCCTACATGATTGTCATTGTAACAGATTGAGAAGTGTTTCCTACATGATTGTCATTGTATCACATATGAACTCTTGACTTCCGAACAAAAGCAAAATTCAGAAAATCTTGAATTAAAGTTTCTTCTGTCAGATTCTTCCTCAAGCGATTCGAAATCCGAACCGCTCGTGCTGTTCAGAAAACATACGTGCTATGCGCAATATATGATACTATAACTATGAAGCCTGCTAAAAAGAATTGGAAAAGAAAAACACAAAACAGATCGATCATAGCCTAAAATAAACATAATGTAGATTAATCGATGTGAATATGACAGTTGCTAACTTCGAAGAGTGGCCATGATAGTTGAGCTGGAATATATAGCAGCGGAGTTGCTGCTTATCTTTGAATCTTTAGACATTATTGTTGAAATCTGTATTAGATATTAAATAATTATCTTGCTAGATGAAGAGTGAAGATATAATTTATTTTATTTTATAATATTTTTTTTTTAGGAAAAACTCTTTGGTATTAAGATTTATATAAGCCTACACTACTATGTATTATTAATTAGATTATAATTAAAAAAAAGAATAAAGATAAAATTTAAATTCGTAATCTCTTAATTATCAAGGTTTTAATATCATATTAAAAAATTATCTTATTAAGGTTCTAATATCATATTAAAGAACTATCTTAATTTAAAAATTTAAATTGTTAGGTCAAGATAGTTTTTTAATATGATATCAAAGTCTTGTTGATTAAGAAATTACAAGTTTGAATCTTACTACTCTCATTTAATTTAATAAAAATTTAGTATAAGGTAATGTAAGTCTATTTAATAAGTTTTTATTTAGGATGATGTGTTAAAGAATTATATAAATTATATTTTATTGTTTTATTTAATAATTTAAATTATTAAATTAAATTAATTTTTTCAAATAAAAATAAAAAACTGGGAGGTAATGATGGATTTAGGGTTTTATTTTGGTAAGTGAAATGCAGTGAGTACGTCCCTGCAAATCTTAGCTAGTTGTGGAGCCGTAGAGAGTTCGCTCTAGAATGGTTGGAGTTCATTTTGGTGCTTTAGGATTTGGAGCAAACTCTCTAGTCGTGTTTTTAACCTTTTGTCCTGTTGTTATGTTATTTTGATGGGCCCACAAGTAGATTTATGCTGGCACAACAATAAAATAAATTTTAATATAATAAATAAGATAAATTATTGAAAAATAAAATATTTATCTATTATCTTAATAGACCTATGAATGAATTGAATAATGAGATTTTGATGCTACCGTAATAAAAATAAACGGTGGTATTAAAAAGAAAATATAATAAACAGTAAATACGATAAATTTTCAGGAAATAATTATTGTAATTTATGCCGATTTATTTATTGGGGTGGTTGTGATTTTAAATTGTAAGAAGTGTAGATTATAATTTAGTCCATGTACTTTGATAATTTAGTTGTTAGCACTTTTAGTTCTTAAAATCATAAGTTCACTGTTAATTATTCCTTTAGCAATTTCTAAATTATTATTTTTAATTAGATTTTTTATTTTTTGAGTAGTAGATGAGATTCGAAATTTTAAATTAAACGAGGGATATTTTAGAAATAAAAACAATTCAATTGTCATGAAAAACAAGTTTATTTTCTTAGTAAAGAGAGTATAGAAAGTGGGGGTTAAAGGCCACAAACTGAGAAACATGGAGCGTCATTTCTTAAGATACTTATCCCTCACCTCTTCTAATAGTTCAAGTAGTTCTCCACAGAGTACTTGACTTGCTGATCTCCTATTGTCATGCATATCATTGCCTGATGGGAGGGGCAAAGCCCGGAGAGTCTCATTGTACAAGTTAAGATAGAAAGAAATCCTAGAGCTGAAGACAACCTGTGGCTCGGCTGTAGCGTAGATGTCTCGAGTCTCCTTCGATATCAGCCACCCATTTGCATGATCAATCTTAGCGTTAATTGCTCCATCGCGGATGGCCTTTGCCACAACGTTTTCGACATCTGCAAGGAGGTTTCTGGAATGCATCTTCAATTTATCAGCTACTTCTGCAAGTGAGATGCTGGAATAGGAGATGCTGGTGCTGCGCAGTCCACTCCTGTTGACACTATGTTGCAGACGAACAATCAAATTTTTTGTTCCGTCTGATATGAAAGTGCCAGCAAACTCTTCTGCGACATTACCGAACAGCTCCAGGTCACCAATTCGTACAGCCTGACAAATTAACCAGATAGTCGTAATTATGCAGAGAAATCGATAGAAATGAGCATGTTCATGTATTATCAGGCCTAAAGATCCAAACCATTGGCCATGTCGGCTAAAGCACTTGAAGAAAAGTCACCCACATTTGTAAGCTCGAAGTATGGCCTCAAAATCCTTTCCATTCCACTCTGCATAAAAGCTGTCCTCTCAGGTATTTCTCCCAGTAGTAAACGAACTAGGACAGTCCACTTTGTACATTGAATTAGAAAGCCACGAGCTGCAACTGGACCTCTCCAAACAGCTTGCCGGAAACTTTCTTTTGCATCAGTATATGCCAGTCGAATCGTCTGAATCTTTCCAGTATAAAACAAGTATCGGCGAGTCTGCAGGGAGCATGTATTAATTCAGGAATAAATTGGATGCACAAAACATTTTCTTTTTGTTGTTAGGTGCTCTCTACCAGCAAAAAAAGGGCCTTGTCTTTCCCCTGCTAAACTCGGGCACAGAACAGTTAAAAACACAAACAGATTACTGTTTTTCCTCCTTTTTTCTTTTTTTTTTCCAACAAGCGATCCATAAGAAGTGATCAGAAGCAAATTCCATACCTGCTGACTTGAGCGTGACAGAAATTTCGCTGCCTTTGACCTCAATTTCTCTGCCTGATCATATAGGTTGTAATGCAGGTAATTACGAAGCAACAGATTGAGAAGTGTTTCCTACATCATTGTATTTGTATAACATATGAACTCTTGACGTCGACTAGCAACTAACCTGACCCAGCTCATCATGTTTCAAAGCGGCTACGCTATACCAGTCAAGGAGGTTCCTGAAAATGAAAGTAAAGCACTAGAGTTATAAAACAGTGTGATCATATTTCAGAACAAAGCAACTCTGCTATTACATTTCGCCTTCATCTTAACAAGATGTCAATATACCTTTCGAAAGAACGTGTAGGTTGAGGTTCCATACAAAATTACAGGTTTAAATTATGCTAATTTATCTTCCTTACAGGTTCCGCGATAGACAAAGTAACATCAAGATAAAGATCTTCTTACCAACGAATTTCAGCAAGATCACCTGAGACCTCATAGCTATACGAGTAATAGAAATACAGCTTAGCTGCTAGAACATTAACAGAGTCAAGCTCTGCCATGTTTAGGCTCATCACTCGAGTAATGCCATCCAATGAACAAACTTTAGCCTGAGAAGAATAGATCACACACCACATTTATCATACATACAAGAAAGTAAACCCAGAAATACATCACCCGAATCCAATATAACCTCATTATATCTTTTCTGATCAATCAGAAATATCAGAACAAGAAAGTAACAGTAAAACTCCAGCTCTAGCGAAAATTCTATCGCGCAAACAGACATTGCAGAATCGGCTTCCTCATCTTCCCACAACCAGGAGGGGGGGGGGGGGAATCGATTATATCAATCTACAGGAAAAAAGAGTTTGCGTAATCACATCATTTCTCCTAATTCACTAACTTCATAGGTATCAATGGCAACATTTAGAATCACTAGCAGCCAAACATAATGTAATTAAATCATTAAAAACAATAATCATATATTAATTTACCTAATCTTGAAAGTTTACCTCGATAATTAGAAATGAAGATAGTCGAGCATTCAGTTCAGAATTCTTCAAAAGACTAAAATTCAGCAGATATTGAATTAAAGTATCTTCTGTCAGATTCTTCCTCAAGCAATTCGTAAGTCGAACAGCACGAGCTGTTCGGAGAACATCCGAGCTAAGCTCAATATGTGATACTATTTTCATCAAGCCTACCAAAAAAGAATTGGAAAAGGAAAACACAAAGCAGATCGATCATAGCTTAAAGAAAACGTGATATTGAACTACATAAATAAAAATCGATGTGAATATGAGAGTTGCTAACTTTCATAAGTGGAAATGAAAGCTGAGGTGTAAGATGAAGCAGCGGAGTTGCTGTTAACCTCTGAATCTTGAGACATTGCTGCTGAAATCTGTATGAAAAATGGAAATTTGAGAGGAAATGGTGGATTTGGGGTTTGATTTTGGCAAGGGAATTGTAGTGACTTAGTACGTACCTGCAAATCTTAGCTAGTGGCGGAGCTGGAGAGAGCTAGCTCTAGAACGGTTAGAGTTCGTTTTGGTGCTTGGGATTTGACATCAGTTTCACGTTTCTTTTCGTCCATGTTTCTCCCTCTCTTTTAGTTTTAGTTCTGTTTTTCTGTTATCTTGATGGGTCCATAAGTAAATTTATGCTGGCACAATAATAAATTAAAATTATAATATAATATAATAAATAAGATAAACTTTAAGAAATAATTCCATTGTTTGTTGAAAACGTATATCATCTAGAGTAATTAGATCCACACCGAGGTTGGTCCGACTCAAAACCTAAATTACCTAGCAAGTCATTGAGTCAATTTAAATTATAATTTAAAAACCTCATTTCAAGAATTTTTTTTGGTGATTCAAAATAAAACCTGGCTTAGGTGAAGTTTCAAGTGGATAGATCCTGTAATTAATTCGTTAAACCGGCTTAGATTTTATAACCATGTTACGATAATAGTAGGAGCAATTAGAAAAATGGATAAATTAATGGGTGGAAACTTAAATAGAGGGATCCTATTGAAACAGCTACAGAAACGTCAAGCTAGATTTTAATCCACGAATTAGAAACAGCATATATGGAGTCGGTCCACAACGACACCAACCATAAAAGTGAATGTAGTCTTGGTAAAAAACGGTGGTCATCTACGGTCTGTCCGAGATAATTCATCCCCAGGTACATAGCATATCTAAAATGGGGATTGTAACATTAGATCAAACTAGTGATTCCACCATGGAAATACAGAGTACTATCCATATGATACTGAAACAAACATGTTTGTTTAGGAATAGGAAATGTAGAAAGTGGAGAATGAAGACCAGAAACATGGGGCATCGTAGTCTTTCTAAAAATAAGTCTCATCCTCGTCCATGTATTCCCTTGCTATTTCTTCATCAAGCACTTGGCTTTCTCTCCAGTACTCATCGGAGTCTCTCTCTTCTTGTGTCTTTGGCGGGAACCGCAGGGCCTTGACTGCGTCATTCTGCAAGTTACGACAGAAAGCAATCCTAGAGCTGAAGACAGCGAGTGGCTTGGCTGTAGAGTAAATGTCTCCGGTGTCCTTTGATACCAACCACCCATTTGCATGATCTAAAACAGCGTGGATTGCACCATCACGGATGGCCTTCGCTGTGATGCTTTCGACATCTGCAACAGGGTTTGCAGAGTCCAGCTTCAATTTTTCAGCAACATCAGCAAGTGAGATCCGGGAATAGGAGATGCTGATTTTGCGTAGCCCGGTCCTGATGACATTATGTCGCAGTCGAACAATCAGATTGTAGGTTTTGTCTGATCCGAAAAAACCAGCAAAATCTTCTGCAACATTCCTAAATAGCTCCAGGTCACCAATTCGTACAGCCTGAAAGATTTATCAGAGTTGTAGCTGCTCAGAGAAATCCATAGAAATGAGCACGCCTATGCATGCTTTGCATATTTGTCTGGCCTAAAGACTCGAACAATCGGCCATATCAACTACAGCACTTAAAAGAAAAGCCACTCACATTTGTAAGCATGAAGTATGGCCTCAAAGCCCTCTCCATTCCACTCTGCTTAAAGGTTGTCCTCTCAGGTATTTCTCCCAATAGTAAATGAACAAGGACAGCCCATTTGCTACACAGAATTCGAAAGCCATGAGCTGCAACAGGAGCTTTCCGAGCAGCATGAAGGAGACTCTCTCTAGCATCTTTATACTTCAACTGTATTGTCTGAATCTTTCCAAGATAAAACAGGTATCGACAAACCTAGAAAGAGCATTTTATTAATTCAGAAATAAGTTGGAAAAACAGATTTAGCATTTTTGTGGTAATTAGGTGCCACCCAGCTAAAAAGTGCTATGCATTTCCCCTTTTAGATTTTGATATAGACCATTTAAAAACACAAAGAAGTCCCTTCCCTGCCCCCTTTGTTTTTTTCTTTAATGTCCAATACAGATATCAAGAAGAGACCAGAAACAAAATCCATACCTGCTGAATTGTGTGTGATTGAAATCGCCGTGCCTTTGACCTCAATTTCTCTGCCTGGTCATAGAAGTTGTAATGCAGGTAATTACGAAGCAACAGATTGAGAAGTGTTTCCTGCTTCATTGTCATTGTATCGCATATGAGAAACTGAATTTGCAAAGTAAACAACATCCAGGTTGACTGGCAACAAACCTGACCCAGGTCATCATGGTGCAAAGTCGAAATGGTAAGCAAGTGAAGAAGGTCCCTGAAAATAAAGTACAGTAGTAGCAATGTTACTTAGAAACAGTAATCTGACCATATATGACTTCCCTCCAATAACCTTATGTTCCCCATCTTACACCAGGATGTTAATGTATCTTCCAAAAGGACGCATATGTTCTATACACAAAATTATAGACTCAACTGACAGACAACCACGTGTAGGTAAAGATAAAGTTTCACTTACCAACGAATTTCAGCAAGATCATCTATGACCTCATGGATATACGAATAATAAAAGTACACCCTAGATGCTAGAACACCAGCAGTTTCAACAGCACCTCTGCTTAGGTTCTCCACTCGAACAACAGCAGCCGAGGAGAAAGCTTTAGCCTGAAAATGATATTATTAGCACATTTACCATACAATTACAAACACTATGATTCCACTCCTAAATAGACAGAAAGGAAAATCAGGATAAAAACTAGCATAACCTCATTGTATCTATTCTGATCAATCAGAAATAGCAGCATAAGCAAGTAACAGTAAATCTCAAGCTCTGGAGAAACGCGTTTTGCTGGAGCGGATGTTGCAGAATCAGCTTCCATTCCAAGCTCACCTCTCTATAACCCATATGAATAACAGCTTTAATAACCAGACACTTTCAAGAAGACAAAATGTAAATCGTCCCTCGAGATTTTATTTAAAAAAAACTTCAAAAAAGCGCCATAAAATAATCCCAAATGTAATTAAATCATTAACAAAAAATGATTTCAATACGTTTTGAAGTTACCTGATGATGAAGAAATCCAGATAGTCGGTTATGCAGCTCAGAGCCTGGAGAAAGGGCAAAATCCAAAAAAGCTTGGAGCAGATTAGGCTCCGCCAGCTTCTTCTTCAAGCTATTAGTAAGGCGAACAGCACGAGCTATATGAAAAACCTCCTTCTTGCACGAGCCAGTCTCGATAAGCGATGCTATATCCATCAAGCCTACCAAAAAAACAAAATGGGAAAACAAAACAGAGAACGGATCATAGCTTAAAAAACGTAATGTGCAATGGAAGTAAAAGCTGAGAATCGATGTAGTTACTTTTGAGGGAGCATTCAACAGGCGAGGTGATGGAATTAGAAGGAGAGGGGGTGCTGGAGCTTTTTATCTGGGCTTCGACGGACATTTCTGCTGAGACCTTTATCAGAAGTGACAATATGTGAGGAAATGATGAAGTTGGGATTTTATTTTGATGAGGGAAATGTAGCAAGTTACTACCTGCAAATCTTAGCTAGCAGTGTAGCTGGAGAAGCTCTGTAACGGTTGGGAGCTCGTTTTGATCCTTGGGATGTGGCATCAGAGTTACTCACGTTTCTTTTCATCCAAGGTTCTTCTGTTTTTTTTTTTTTTTTTTTTTTTTTTTGTCTATTTAGTGAGTGGATGAATGGGTTGTTCTGTTCAAGTTACGAAAAGATTAGGAAGGCAATGGGTTTTAACGATTGGGTTTTTTTTATATTCGTATTTTATTTATTATTTATTGGATAAAAAATTTATATATTTATATATCATCCAACAAGTTTTAATTATGGGATATTCATTATTTGATTATTATTATTATTATTATATATATGGATTGATTTAAGTCAGCATTCATCAAACTCGAATTAAATTATCATTCCTAGAAAAGAACCCAAATTAATGAATTCTCAAAATTCAATATCAGAATCAAAATGCAAGTCTCAGGACAATCCTCTGAAGCAGTGAAACTAGAAATTCCATACATTACTTCATTTTTTCTTTTTTTGATAATATTAGCGATATTTCATTTGACTGAAAATTAATACAAGCAGCCGAACTTTCTGGAGTGGGACACATACAAGCACGGGAGGGCCTCCAACCAAATGGTGGGATGAACCGTGTCCAGCATCCCTAGCTAATTCAACTCCCTCTTGGTTATATGAGATGAGTCTGGTTTATGAGATAAAATGGCATTTCTAAAAAGGCTTCTGAAGCATCCATAGTTTATTACAGAGTGGTTCCCTTGCTAGAAAGAGTGACCCCCTGCTCTGTTATTCTCAAAGGCTCACAGAGGTTGGCAGTGAGTCTTGCTAGATTATCTGGTCAGCATTTAAGAGTCTAAGCATGTCAATGTGCATGGGCCAACATTCGAACATCTTAGCACCCCCACGCCGAGGCTTCGGCTAAAGAATAAACCACAATTAAAAAAGAGCGCGATGGGAACAATCGCTCCTTTAGAATGTGCAATTCATTATTCCGAGGGAAATTGATGAGGGCAAAATCTCCGTGAAAGCAGCTTTTTAAAGCATGCATCAATCCATTTCAATAGTAAAACAAGACAGAAATTGAAAAATAAAAGAATGCACTGCTAGGTAGAGATTAAAACGGTTACAAAAGTTCAAGCACCCCAACAACAGCCACAACATAAAAAGGTAGCCCCGAGAGGCAATGGTTCAAACTTGAAAGGATTGGTCTACGGCGGTTACACAAGAATGTCCTAAAGTTAACACTACTGCTACTTGAGTCCAATAAAAAAAAAAAAAAAACTAATGGGAAAGAGGAATAGAGAGATGCTAAACATAATATTGGAGAAGGCACTAAACATTAACGTCTGCACTCAACTCTAAGGATGCCAAAATGAGCATCTTATGCAGCTGCAGGGATTGGGCCATTAGATCTAAATCCACGGCCTCTTCCGCGATTTCCCCTCCCACGGCCACGGCCTACAATCAATATACAACACCACTGACAAAGAGCACTTTTAACTGAAATCAATATGCAACAAATTATGCACCACAACTGACAAAAAGCATTTTTTTTTAATGGTGTTGGCACTAATTGACAGTGTGACTCCAGAGAGAAACCCAGCTACAAAACATCAGGGGACTTCACTGAAATGATTGCTCAATTATCAACTGTTGTTCTTACCTGTAGCATGGCACTTCCAAGAGTCTGGAAATGTGTCCTTATGTTTCATGTTTTATATAAGCCATGTGATGTTTATTCAATCCACAGCTTTCATTGAGCTTATGTTTCAAGAAAGTAGAATTATTTTTCAAGGAACCTTTCTGCTCAAAGTACAGTTGGAAAGTTAGATGGTTTTCACAGCAAACAGTGAAAGGTTAAGAATGGACAAGGGATGAAGACTCACCTAGAGGGCATCCTAGTGAAACACCTAAAAAATCAACCTAGGATTTTTTTTATAATATAATATGAAGTCAAGGATAGCCACACAGATCATGAAATGCAAAATAAAAAATAATGGGGAAAAAATACCGCGGCCATGTGGAGGTGCTTCATAATTATAACCATCGCGGCCTTGTGGAGGAGCTTCATAATTATAACCACCGCGGCCTTGTGGAGGTGCTTCATAATTATGACCGCCATCTTGCTGGGTATCAGTATGAGGTCCGTTAAATCCTCCCCTTCCACGGCCACGGAAACCACGTCCTCTGCCTCGACCCCTGGCCCTAGGATATCCCCGATTGCGATCCCAACCCCCATCCTCGTGCTCAGCAGACACAAACCCATTCCCTGCAAAATCATGTCATGCAGTCTTGCAACTCAACAGCAACAATATAAGAAGTTAAGAACTCAGGTGTCTAAACTTAGAAACAAAAACTCTTAAGAATATTACAAAAAAAAAAAAAAAACATCACATAACAACATTACATAGCCAAACCATCACCCGTACAAGAACAAATAAAAGGAGGCAAATACACCAAGTGAACAAACATTTAGCACACAATCACTCAGAAAATTTTCTGGCAATAGACATATATGACCAAATATCTCAAATGAAAACAGTAAAGCATGCAGTCAAAACCCATCAAGACATACCTCTACCCCTTGCCCTTCCTCTGCCTCCTCGTCCCCTGCCACGGCCACGTGGTGAGCCATCTGCCAAAAAAAAAAGCTCAAAGAAGAAGCAAATAAGATCAATTTAAAACAAGTACAAAGATGATAAGTATTTCTTACCTCCCTCATACTCAAACTCTGTGAATGCCTTCACCTGCTCAGCAGGTAACGGAGGCTGGTACCTGAAGGGAGTTGCAATTCATAAGTGATTGCACATCATTTTATTTACAAATATGGGTTCAAAAGTTACAAGTAATAGAGACGCGCACAAACTCACCCAGCAGAAGATGTATTCAGCTCCTTCTTGGAAAGGTTGATTGTAATCATTGAAACATGCCTTGTGGTTTCCAATCTGCGATCACAAAAACAAAATTGCATCACCCACGCAACAGCAACAAAAGCCACATAAAGCATAAAAACTATATATAAAAAAAATTATCAGCCATTCTGAATTAGGACTGTACTTACGGAAGGAGGCCTTCCTCAAGCGGTTCCCAAGTATCTGTTATGTCCGTGGATCCAATTGATGTGATTTGATGAAGACCAACAATTCTTCTCTGCATTACAACAAGAAAAATAGCAATACTACACGCAATCAAACACAAATCGCTAAAGTCACAAAATAACCCATTATTCGGTGAAAACCTTGATTAACTCCACTATAGTCACTGTCTTGTTGATGGCTCTCCCCATAGCCTTGAATACAATTTCGTTCGAACCTTTTTCCTACAAATAAACAAAAAAATTAACCAAAAAAAAACTAAACACAGAGCTCGTCATCAGTAAAAACCAATTAATCCACCTAGCTTGAACACTAGCTGCCCGCAGACATACAAAGATAACACATTCCAGTACCAACAGAATTATCAAGCTCCCGAACTTATAGAAATTCAAATTTTTAGCCTCGAATTAATTGAAAACACGATAACATACCGTCCAGATCCGATTATCGTAAAATATAAACCCGAAAAAATAAAAATAGTGATAGATAAGAGAAGTACTTGAAGCAGAGTCAAGGCATAAGAGATATAGCTACGCATCCTTCCTTGACTAGTAATTCGAATCTCGTTCTCATCAATTGTTTTATCCGCTCTCGGCTTCTCCACTCTCTGGTACCGGTCCATCTTTCTTCACCGCCGCCAAACAAAAAGAGGAAAATCAATTTAATTAGGTTTTTGTAGGGAAAAATCGGAGCTAAGGTTTGTTAAGGTGGATCTGAGAGTTACCTTGAAGAATAAAAACAGAGAGAAGCTTGCTCGGCCAAGAAAGAGCCCTCTTCTACGGCTTCGTTTCTTCTTTAACGCCCTAAACCGCTTGCGGAGGCTTATCGTGCTTTATATACACCACTCTTTTCTTCTCCGGTTCAAACCGGTTTTTATACCCGGGTAGGAATTAGGGTTTATCGTTGATTGCTGCCACTTTTTAAGTGATATCAATTTAGCTCCTCAAGCTTTACTTTATTATCAATTAAGTACTTATCTTTCGATTTCTATGAATTTTACCCCATAATCAATACCACCATATTTTGGGACAGTTTATTTTTGCATTTGAAATTGTGTTTAGGTATGTTTTAAAAATATATTTATCTAAAAAAATATTAAATTAATTTTTAATATTTTTTTATGATTTTGATGTTTTGTTATTAAAAATAAAAAATCCTAAAAGAATTATCTTGATGCATTTACAAGTTAAAAACATCTTACATTACAATACCAAAACACTCGTTCAATCATTGATCGGAGGAAAATTAAGATTTATTTTTACATTTAATACTTTCCTCTTTTGTTAATTTTGTGTTACGGTTATATTACATGGCATATTAGTTTTTTTTGTTTGTATTTGATGGGAGCAATTCATAAGCTCATGCAAATTGAATAAAATATTTTAACCAACACCAATTAAGATGGATAAAGTAGTGATTTGGTTGAATTTTAATTGTGTTTGGGGTAAGATTAATAAAAGCAATAAATTTAAGTGAGGAAGAACAGATCCAATTAGATCATTCACACGAGGGTCATTAACAATCCAATCTTTCCTATTAAATAGATTGTAAGATAAATCAAATTTCGTTAACTAATCCGCTGCAAAATTGACCTCTCGAAAAATGAGCTGAGCCTTAGTTAATCTCTTTGTCAAAAGTGTAGACATTTTAACAACTAGGTATAGTTATTGTCTATTTTCTCGGTTTGCTTGATGAGGATATTCAATACCACGAGAGAATATGACTCTCCAGTATAACATTGAAATATTCCAAGCTCCCATGCAAGACCGGTGATGGTAGCGCATAAGTATGCTCTTACTGAAGGACAAAAGCCTGCGTTTATCACGAACCTCTTTTTCCATGTAGTTTGTCTCGAATTAGCCCTCCCGCACCTGCAAAACCTGGGTTGTCTTTGCTGCTGCACCCATCAACATTTCCTTTCATCCAACCTCGAGGAGGGTATCTTCATCCCACCCGCTGCATCTCTTTTTAAGTTGATCGGTCACATTCCCTGATGTCTATGCGTGTTCAATTTCTTCCACCATGCAGTTAATGGCTTTTACAGAGCTGTAAGTTGACAGGTCTTGGTCTGTGAAAATCCTCTGATTCATTGCCTTCAATGGATGCCACACCGTGACCCTAAATGCCACCTCCCATCTTCGGACTTCTCTTGACACGTGCATACTAGACAAATTACAAAGCATCCAAGTAACAATTGTGAATTCTCCACTTGCCGAATTGTGCCAGAAAATAGTATCATCCTCTGCTTGTTTACAGGGGACAGGATGGCTCGTAATTGCCATTAATACCTGCATGGGAAGTAGGCGAGCAAATTCCTCCCATCTCCATTCATTATCGACTTTGACCATATCCTTCATTAACAAATTGCTTTCCTTCACGGAAGATTCTTGTGCCACATGCTGTAATAATTGACTGAAGCCTTCAAGCCAAACATCTTTCCAGAACCTGACTTTCTTTCCATTCTCTATGGACCCAGCTTGTACCTGCAACATTTTGAGGCAACACCTTGCAAATTGCCTTCCAAAATGGGAATCGGTATTCCTAGAGCGCAGTTGTTGATCTTGCGCATGTGACTTGACATACTTGGCCCTCAAAAACCAAGCCCACAGACTACACTTATTATTCAAAATACCCCACCCTAAATCACAAAAACATTGTCCATGCCTTGCATTCTCCGCAATCCTAGACCTCCTTCACATTTCGTCTGACAAAGCTTTTTTCCATTTGACAAGGTGAAGTCGTTGACTCCCCTCATAATCTGCCCATATAGAACCCCTACATATTTTTTCTATTTCATAGCAAATAGATTTGGGGAGTAAGATGGACTGCATGGGATGCAAAGATATAGTAGTAGTTACGGACTTACATAGCGTGATTCTACCCGCAAGTGACAGGTTTTTGGCTTTTCCAGTAAGCCAATTTTTGGCGCATGTTCTCAGTAATATAAATATAATACTGTTTTGTTATCCACTGGTGAATTACTACTTCCCCAATCTGTATTGATAGCGAAACCACTATGGTGACTAATAGACTTCGCTAACGTGGGAGAAACACCTTTAGAGAAATACACCTTCGTTTTAGCTGCACTAACTTTCTTACCTGATATGGCACAAAAATAATTTAGACATTCCAAAATTGTATCCATCTGCCATACTGTAGCTTCTCCGAAGAGAAGGACGTCGTCTGCAAAAAATAGATGCGATATATTCGGTCCTCCTCGATTAACTCTAAAATGTCTCCATGAGCCTGCATCGACTGCCTTCTGAATTAACTGAGACAACCTTTCTACACATAGCACAAAAATATATGGTGAGAGTGGATCGCCTTGTCTAATTCCCCTAGTTGAAGTGAATATTTCGGAGATCTTTCCATTCCATAGAACACTCAACGAGGCCGTTTCAATACACTTCTCTATCATGCTTTCTGGGAAGCCTGTCAAAATCAAAGTCTCCATGATGAATTCCCAATATAGTCTGTCATACGCGTTCTCCAAATCCACTTTGATTGCCATTAACCCTTACTTACTTCTCCTAGTGTTTCGAATAGTGTGGATGACCTCCTGGGCCACTATAATATTATCCACAATTTGTCTCCCTGGAAAAAAGCTGCTTTGGTTATCCGAGACTAAAGTTGTCATTGGAGGTTTGAGCCGATTGACCACAACTTTAGTTAGGATCTTAAAGATGATGCATTACAAAGGCCAATGGGTCTGAACTGCTGCAGCATCTCTGGTTTCGACACTTTTGGAATTAAGACTAAAAAAGAATGTTTAATTTCTGCTAAATCCTTTTTGTTGTCAAAAACATCTCTGATGAACCTGCACGCTTCGCCACCCATTGATTTTGAAAGAAGAATGGATGAAAACCATCCGGTCCCGGGGCTTTAAACGGCTTCATAACATATGATGCCCTCTTTATCTCCTCGCTTGTCACTCTGTCCAATAACTTCTTTCTTAACAATTCTGTTATTTCCGGAGAACTTGCGGCAATATGACATCCTCTAATTACACTATCCCTCAAAAAAAAAGCTTTTGATAAAAATCGATGGCCATCTGCTGAAGCTTATCTTCCTCCCAAGCCCAATGTTTATTACTATCTTTCAAGCATCTCATCATATTCTTTTGTCTTCTAGTAATTGTCTTGGTGTGGAAATAAGCTGTGTTTTTTGTCGCCATGAAAAATCCACTTACACCTAGACTTCTGATACCAGTGCATCTCTTCTTGGCCGAGAACCTCATTATACTCTTGTATCAGTTGTTTCTCCAAACTCATAAGAAACTGGTTACACGTTCCATTCGTTGCCTTATGTATCCCTCCAGTTCTCGCGAGTGTCCTTCTCTTCCGACATAATATATTACCGAAGATCTCTCAGTTCCAATCTTTCAATTTGCTTGTTAATTTCTTCAGTGCTGAAGTAACGTCTTTTCATTTTCTCCAATTATTTTAAATCAGCTCAGCAAACCCATTGTGAGAGGTCCACGCCGCCTCAAACCTGAAAGGTCTCTCCTTTCCCTGACTATATATGTCTTAGCTCTGAAATTGATTCAATAACGAATGGTGACATGACTTGACTCGTGGAAGAACCTTAATAAACATATCTGGAAACTGGTGTCTCAGCAAATGGTTTCCAAGCCCCCTATCTAGTCTTTCAAATACTCTTTCATGACCCCTGCTTTTCTGACCTCGCCAAGTGAACCGAGGACTCACACTACCCAAATCCATTAAGTCACATTGCTGGATCCATTTACTGAATCGAGCACATCTTCGACTGTCCACTGCCACTCCCCGCGTTTTCTCCTTAGCTATTAATACCTCATTAAAATCCTCCACCGCCATCCAAAGAGCCGATATGTTTTCAGACAGCTCTCTGATCTCTTCAAAACATTTTCTTTCTTGACTTTCATTGGGATTGGCATATACCACTACACACACCCAATAACTTCCACCTTCTTCAATCACAGCTAGATGGATAAAATTTTGAGAAGAATCAAGGATATTGGTATCTACTCTGGCCTTATTCCATAGTAATCATAACCCGCATGATCATCCTTGAGCCTCTACCCGAAAACTGGAATCAAACGGCAACTTACTATCTACTTGGTATGTAGTTTCCCCGCTTACTCTCGGCTCTGCCAGAGCCAAAATCTCAAACCCATAGGTTCTTCGTAAATCCTTAACTATTGAGCAAAACCGGTTGCTACTTGCACCTCTACAATTTCAAAAGCAAGCATTAATCTCCACCGTAATTAATATGTAAAGGATTAGAACCCAACCTCAATCTGACGCCATCGCATCATTCGTGCCTTCCCCTTCCTCTGTCACTTTTGCATCTTCATAATCTTGGACACTTAACCTCTTGTCCAAGTCCAACTCGTTCATCGTGAAATCCTCCCCCTCCCCCTCCCGTCCCATAGAATCTGGTGGTCTCGGCATCTCATTGGAATTTGTGTTATTGAATAACCCAACTCGCTCCTTCCCCAGTTTCCCAATGTGACTTGTAAATTACCTCATCATTTAAATTTGGTATAACTTCACACTCTAAAGATGTGCTAGGGCCTGCCAGATAACCCCTAATATGGGCTTGCACCTTCGCTTTTTTTACTAATAAAGGGTTAGCTGCAAAAGGTTAAAAAGACATCCGCTTGTTTAATACCATGAAGCAACTTGAACTCTCATGTCGGGTTGATCTTTTTGTGTTGGTGGCATCGTGTTAAAAGTGTTTTTTTAAAAAAAAAAATTCAAAATATATTAAATGATTTTTTAAATATTAATACATAAAACACATTAAAAAAACATCAATTTATATTTTTTAAAATAAAATATACTTTTAAAACATAATCAAAAGTGAAAGTTGCTTGCTCCAAACATTACTATAGGATTGAGAGTCATTATTTTTGTGATAAACTTTTATTGTGACATGTCATAGCTTACAGTAATTAGGTAAATTCCAACTTGTTTATGGACATATCTAGCCTTAATGATTTAGACCAATTTTAGATTTATATATATATATCTATATATATATATATATTTGTGAAATAAAAAAAAATCCAAGTTTGATGAGGATGGCAAAAAAAAGTCTCTAAATGATGTAAAAAATCATTGAAATAATTATTTTAATATTCAAAATCAATAATTTGAGAAAAAAAAATCAAATCTTCTTAACCATCAAATTTAATTTATGAAACTAGATGTGTTATATTGTTAGAATATTGCTAGATCAACCTCAATTACTTCCACATTTCAAGTAGTGTATTTTACGAGATACATTCATAAACATATGTCATTTATATTATTGAATGAGGCTATTTGTATCTTCATTCAAGGATGATTAACTGAAATTCGACCTCTAATATATTTGGTGGAATTAATTAATATAAAAAAACTAATTTATAGTAATTAATATTAAATTAATATGTTTTTAGATATTAGCACAAGTAACCCCACAACATGGTATATGTGTTAGTTTTTATTTTTAAAGTGTTTTTAAAATTATTATTTACATAAAAAAATATTAAATTAATATGTTTTTAGATTTTATAATAATAAACGGATTCTCGACTATTTCCTTGTTATTCGCACTACTTATTTTATTGTTTTTCGTCACGGATTTTGTCGGCTTCGGACATCCCGGGTTTGCGGCAAAGCCCACGTTTCTGCATTATGGGTTGAAAACCCAGTATATAAGCACAAGCCCATATGTTTTATTACAAAGTTTCTTGTAAACAGACTCCTGTTCGGTCCAAGTGTTTTTACTACGAAGGAGTATAGTTGTCCGGGATAGGGAGGCTCGGGGATCTTAATTGTCACTTCGGATTAGTTTGAATTGAAAATAAATGCAGTCGTAGCAAAGGTATTCTCGGTGTAATTATGAAAAACCATGTCATGGATATGAAATTTCATCCACTGAATTTTATGTTGATGAAGTTTATAAATAAATAAATTTATTTATTTATTTAAAATTAGAAAAAGTACACTTTTTTAATGTTTATAAATGTGAATTTTTATTGTATTGGAAGTCATAGTGAATGAGTTCTCCTAGTAGATTTTTTATTGCTATTATATTGATATTTATAATATCAAAAAATAGCACTTAGAACTTAAAGATTAATTTATTTTTAAATTAATTTTTTTGATTTTGATAATTATTCAGTTTAAATTAAAATATAATTATTTCATTAATAATTATATAGTTTGTGTTAATCAGAATGTTAATATACATAATATTTCAAGTCTAATAAATATGTTACCAACATAAATACAAAGACATGTTTTAGAGGTTCAAAAAACTTAATTATACCAGTGAGGTGTTATTTTCATATGAAATAAATAAACAACTTAGAAACAATATATCACCTCTAAACAAACTCTTTATTTGTTTCTATGTTAAACTGGTTATTTACATTCTAGCACACCAAAAAGATATACTCTTGCGAGTTTGAGCACAAAAGACCCATAACAGAGGAAGAAGAATAGTCTACAATGACAGCTGCCTTCTACAAAAGACCCATAACAGAGGAAGAATAGTCTACAATGACAGCTGCCTTCCCCTCAAAGAAAGCTCACTTGCAATTCGATTTTACACGAAACTCTACAATAAGCCATGAGATAGGTTTTCAGAGGGTAGAGCGTCTGATTGGTGCATGATCAGACGCTCATGCCTTGAATGGTTGCAAAATAAAGCGCTAGGATTGAAACAATGAACAAAGAGGTGTATGGTCTCCTTAACCTGGATCTAGAAGTGTGGTTGGAAGATGCTCTTGCTTTCAGTCAAGTAGAAATAAAAACGTTTTATTGTAATATCATTAGCAATTACAAGCAGAGAGATACAGGTGTTAACACCATGTAGTACTGTGTCGATTCTTTCTTCTATACGAAGCATAAAACAAGGTGCCTGAGGTCTTGCAGACAATTTCCTTCATGGAATGAAATGTGGAAGATTGATGCTCTGACTACTTTGCACCAACCAACGGATCGATAATGCTTCTCCAAACTTTATATTCCAAAGCAGAACCGGCACCAGGCAATCCAAATCCATTGACGAAGAAAAAGGGAGTGGCATATACCCCTCTTGAAGCACTATACTGCATGACAGAAAATGTTGAATAAGGTGAGAAATTGTGTCCTACAAAGAATTGCAATCTACAAGCAGATGTATTATTACAGAAATTGCAATGTGAAAACAAGCTGTAGATTAATAATAACCATTGGTTCTGGCATACTAAAACATTCTATACTGTAGGCTTTGCATCAATCTGGAATCAAAAGTTGTTGTCATACCTTGAAGGAAACCCTTGTTTTCAGATCAGTTTGTATATCATTAAAACCAAATTGCAATGGAGAAGAATAGGAATTCCCAACAATTACAGTCGCAAACTTCACGATCTCCTTCACGATGGAATCTTTTGACAAATTGCTTGTTTCGGAACCATAGAACTTCTCCTGATTTTTAAACATCCAATAAGTTAGCTAGCATCAAACTCAAATAGCTAAAAACAAATTCCGCTCACTAGCCACCGAGCAAATACATAATTGTGTTTAATGGTAAGTGGCGTATAGCACGCCTAGATAATAGACATAATTGCATTTTCAAAAGGAAGGAGACGCAAAGCAAGGGCATTAGGAGTGGAAATTCTAACCTGATGCTTGAAGAACTGCTCCAACAAAGGAAATGTAAACGAACAGTTGAGCATGTTAGCAATATGCAGAGCGCGGGAAGCTACAAATGCGTTGTCGTGGTAGCTGAAATTTCCAAGGAAATACAATTTAATCAAATCAAGGTAGAGAAAAAATGATCAACACACATCCAAGAATTAACTGAGAGCATCGCTCCCAATATCATCACAACTCTAAACAATCGTTATCTACTCAATAAAGCTACGATGTACTCAGTTGCTGTCTCCGTTTTTATTATAAAGAGCAGCAGGGTATTACTGACGGTAAAGGGAGGAGGTGAACGACGAGCGAAACACGAGAACCGTAGTGTTTAAGAGCTTTTTGGAGAGGTGGCCAACTGTCCCTGGAATCTGGGCAGACAGGGTCAAAGAAAGCTTCGATCAGGATGGAGTCCGAGCCACCTTTGCGATTCTCGTATACGAACCCATCGTACCTCAGAGGTGGCAAATTCTGGGGTAGGACGTTCCATTTGAACAAGGTGATGAAAAGAAATGTGTAAGAGAACTGAATTACGACAAAGTGATGCTGTCTCTTCATTTTTTTTTTGTGTTTCTTCAGTTCTTTTCGAAGGATATGTTGGTAACGGTTGGAGCTTATAGAGCAGGAAAGAGGGCACTCGTCAAATGCATAAAAAATGACAGGTCGTTGGATAGTTTAGTGACGACAAGTCGTCGGGTGCAAGCCATCAAGGCTGAGTCACATTGGTTGAAAATTATTAAGATTCGAGGCATATAAGACAATGAATACGGTTTGAATGATGGACTGGTACAATTGAAAAATCAACAGTCAGTATTTTTTTTGTACGGTGTTACAAATCTAACCCCATTCCAAGCCTTCTATTGCATTTTCCAATATTTGATGAGGGTTAATTAGGTAAAATAAAAAAAAATCGTGCTGTTCAACCCTACAAGGGCGTCAATTGTTTGAAAAAAAGGAGGATCAAATGGGATTTAAATCTTCTCAATTATTGAGTACTATGATAGATCATCTTGGGTGAGTCTAAGTCATTAGCTTTGAATTCAATTGTTTGTATTTTTATATAGAAAAATAAGTAGTGAAATAAAATCGTAATCATCAAAATTAAAATCAAATATTATTTTAATATCTTTTCAAATAAAAACTAAATTTGAAAAAAATGAATTTCAAAAAAAAAAATTCCTGAAAAGTAAAGTATTTTCTAATTTTTGGTAGTGTTATAAAAAATAAACTGGAAAATAATTTATTAATATTTTATTTCTCTCAAGTTTATTAAAATAATAAGGAATAAATCTTACAAATTAAAAAGTTGAATAATAATGAAATTTAAAAAAAAATCATAAATTATCTCAAATAAAATAAATAATAATCAAAATAATAAAGATCAAATCTAAAAAAAAAAAGATGAAGAAATTAAAATAATAATAATTAACATTTCATAAAGTATTTCAAATAAAATAAATAACAATAAAAAGAATGAGGACCAAATTTGATAGAAAAAAATTTTAATAAAAAAATAATAGGAGAAAAGCAAATAACAATTATAAAAATGAAGACCAAAGTAAATATAAAAATTAAATTTTAAGAAATGAAATTGAAAAATAAATATTCAAAACAAAATATATATAGCAATCAAAAGTTTGAGGATCAAATTTGATATAATCAGCAAATAATGACATTTTTAAACTTTTCACAACTTCCGGAAAGTGTTTTCCTCCTAAATTTTTCAGGAAAACACTTTCCTGAAAATCAAGCCAAATTTTTCTTTGACTGGAAAGTGTTTTCCGTTTATCAACTTTCCTAATAGCAAATAAACACAGGAAAGTTTGGAAAGTGATTTCCTAGAAATCACTTTCTGCAAAACAAACACAAGAAAGTTTGGAAAGTGTTTTTCCGGAAACCACTTTTCAAAAAACAAACACAGTTAAAAAGGAAAACGCTTTCCTGAAAATTAAGCAAAAATTTTTTTGACTAAAAAATATTTTCGTTGACCAGAAAGTGTTTTCCGTTGACCGGAAAGTGTTTTTCGTTGACCGAAAAATGTTTTCCATTGACCAACTTTTCTAATGACAAACAAACACAAGAAAGTTTGGAAAGTAGTTTCCTGAAAACTGTTTTCCGAAAAACAAACATGGCCTGAATGATGGACTGGTACAATTGAAAAATCAACAGTCAATATTTTTTTTGTACGGTGTTTCAAATCTAACCCCATTCCAAGCCTTCTATTGCATTTTCCAATATTTGATGAGGGTTAATTAGGTAAAATAAAAAAAATCGTGTTGTTCAACCCTACAAGGGCGTCAATTGTTTGAAAAAAAGGAGGATCAAATGGGATTTAAATCTTCTCAATTATTGAGTACTATGATAGATCATCTTGGGTGAGTCTAAGTCATTAGCTTTGAATTCAATTATTTGTATTTTTATATAGAAAAATAACTAGTGAAACAAAATGGTAATCATCAAAATTAAAATCAAATATTATTTTAATATCTTTTCAAATAAAAACTAAATTTTAAAAAATAAATTAAATTATAATAACAAACACATAATAAATAAAATCCCTTTGTATTTTGCATCTTCACGGAAAACACACCCACATTTAATTCTTCCGTCCTTTTCTCCAACACTCCTTTTCATTTCATCCGTGGACAAGTTAAAAGAATTATTAGTTCATTTACTATGATATTAAAAAAATTCTAAAAAATTACACAATTATTAATTCTCTATATATTTTTTTCAATAATTTAAAATTCATTCGGTTTTAAAAAATCATGACCGCATTGAAAATATTTCTAACTCTTGCAGTGAATCTTTCACCATGTTTGAAAATGTGTTTAATTTAAAAATATATTAAAATAATATTATTTTTAAAAATCATTGAAAAATAAAAAAGTATTAATCTAATATATTTTTATATAAAAAAATAATTTAAAAAAAAAAACAAAACAAAAGCTATCAGTTTAAAACATATAGCAAATCAAACCTGAAAGGTCTGACTCGGTTGCCTGGCAAAAGTCAATAGGATCCCAATATTAACCTTCACCGATTAATGAGAAAAAAATGATCTTCGGAGGCTGGTTTTCATCGGGGCTGGGCTGTTTCTTGCAATTGGGACGACCTTTTGTATTTGTTGTTCCTTGGGACACTGCAAAGAACTGGGAACCCTTCTTCTCGATCACTGATTCTATGCTCAGCAGTCAGCACTGTATGTGCTCTTTTGGGCCCGTCAGAACTAGAGATGTGCCAGGCTGAGCCCATTATAGATTGAATATTCTTGCAGGGAGAGCAGGCCAGGCCGAGTCAGAAAAGCTGATGACTCAAGGTTCATGTGAAATCCCACGGGCCAATTTTTTTAGAAATTTCAAATGCTTTCTCTTAATTAAATTGGAAATAATAATAGCTAAAAAAATGTTTTTTTTCTAAATATTCTCTTGCATGTTTTTTCGAGCTAGAGAAAACTCTTTCTCAAATTCAAATTGCTCTTAATCCTTTACGTGCTCGGTTTTTTCATTAAACATATCATATCAATCAACATTATTCTTAGCCTCCCTGGCAATAAAATCAACCTTAGAGCCGGAAGAAGATAATAAATTCTATTTCATGACTTTCATTGAAGTAGAAGAACGCTGATCTTGACCCTCTAAATTCTAAAATTCTCTTTTAAGTACAGCAAATAAATAATTCATGTTTTATTAAAAATACCTCTAGAAGCACATCTAACATGGTTTTTTTTTTATAAACATTACAAATCAATAAAATATCTCGCATCAAGATATGAATATTTAATAACCAGTCTTATTATTAATATTGATTGTTAACTTATTAAACGCGTTTTGAGACCATACATTTCACCAAATACAAATCTATGAGGTCAATAAAATCCAAAGCAAACAATACCTAGCAGGTTGGGCCAGGCTATTCCATTTAGTATCAGAGTAGGCCTTACTGATTGTCCAATTATGCTGACAGAATCATCGGGCTTCTTAAAAGGGATGAATTATAATATCCTGCATCAACGGATGATGATTTAGTAGATAACCTTATTAGTAATGTTGATTACTGACTTATCAGTCGTGTTTTGAAACTATACGTGATCATCAAAAACAAATATATGAGGATAATAAAACTAAAATGGATAATATCTAGCAAGTTAGCCCTTGCTATTATATTTTGCATCTAAATCTTCTCCTTTAGTGTTATCTTCATCATCCTTATGGAAATTTGGTAGTTGATTCTAGTCCACAAAGAAATAGGAAGTATCAAAACTTTTAGTTTTCACATCATATTTATTTTAATTAAATTTTTAATTTTAACATCATATATATTTTGTTAAAAAAGTTATCTTTTTTGCTTATGCTTTTAGAGTGGGTTCTCAAATTTAGTTATAGATATATTATCATTTTTTTTATAATTATCTGAGTACCTCATTTTCACCAACTAACATGTTAATTTTAAAGTATATCTTTGCTTATTTTTTATCATTAATTTTTAAACACTTATTTTCAATTATACAATATGTTTTTACATGTTTTATATTATTGGTTTCTTAACATTTCTTACTTGAGAAAGAACCTCTACATCTCCTTTTATGCAAACATATCATGTTCAATCATCTCTTCAAGCCTAGATTGTTTCAACACATGATAAGCAAACAACCACTTGAATTGTTAAATTCTATTACCACCTAATACAGTTGAAAATATAAATCAAAGAATAAATTATTAAAAATACATAATTAAAATTTAACAGGGTTCTCACATATGATCTTAATTTATAATTTTTTATCTTAAAATAATTAGTTTTAAACTAAAAAAAATATATCAATTTTAATATTTGATTTTTTAACTAAATAAAAAAATAAAAACATCATAAATAATAATATTTTTGTAAACTAAATAGAGATAATAATTAAATGTTTTTTTTCTAAAAATCTTTTTGCATCATCAGCGCATGCACAGAAAAAGCAAACGATCGGTTATCCCTTCACATATCATGCCATTTCAAGGTTTTTGCTTCAACGAAACGTGTCATCTCTGGCACATCAAAACCAAAATATCTTCCATTTCCTTGCCTATATCCCAACCATTGACTCTACATATCCATAACCCGAACTTGATTAATATGATGTTTTAGGGTTTGTTTTCGGAGTGCGGTAGGTATCACTTTTTAAAAGTATTTTTATTTAAAAATATATTAAAATAATATTTGTTATTATTTACAATTTACTTTTAACATTAAATTCATATATATATATATATATATATAATCCAATTAAGAGCAAAAAAAAGACTTCAAAACATTTCAAAAGCACTGTTAACTATAATACTATAATTTAAATTGATTTTGCTAAATCTAAATTATTTGAGAAATTAAATAGTAATTTAGTTAACTCATAAAATTAAAATCAGCATCATTTTAATTAATAAAATAAAATATTTGTATAAAATAAAATAAATTGATATATTTGAACTTAAATTAACAGTTAAGAGTGTACTTGAAGAGATTATTTGTTAAAGTATTTTTTATTTAAAAATATAATAAAATATGTTTATCTTTATTTTTTAAAAAATATTTTTAAAAGACAAAAATAAATCAAATTTAATAATAATTGATGTATTAACCGCTGGCATTTCCCCTTCAGAGTCAACGTCATCTTCCACCAACCTTCCTTTTAAGCCCGCGGCTCACCCATCCTCTCATATTGATACTCCAACTTCTTTTCCCTACTTTTGTTGCAGCCCCTATAATGCGCCATGGTCACACCACCTCCTATTCACTGTCCCACTCCATCACCAACCCCCTTGAACTTCAACAGCGACGCTTCCATCACCACCGGCCACAACATGCTTGTCTCTGTGCTTCTCGCACTTTTTCTGCCATGTGTAGGTATGAGCGTAGTGTTTTTAATCTATATTTGTCTCCTATGGTATGCTGCTAATAATCAACCAGAGAACATTGCTTTACCGGTAAAAACTGTGACAGAGAAGGGTTTGTCATCATCGGAGCTAGAGAAGTTGCCTAAGGTCACCGGGAAAGAGCTTGGTTTGGGGACAGAGTGTGCTGTTTGTCTAGATGACATTGAAAGTGAACAGCTGGCTAGGATAGTTCCTGGCTGCAATCATGGGTTTCATCTGGAATGTGCTGATACTTGGCTTTCCAAGCACCCTGTTTGTCCTGTTTGTCGGGCAAAGCTTGATGATCAGTTCTCTACTGCTTCTGCTTCTCCAGAGAACAATCCTTGTTGAAATTTTAAGAATTAATTAGAAGTTGATTATGTCTTGAGTTTCTTATTTAGGATTGCAAACGATGCAGTGTATTATTATGTCTCGAGTTTCTTGACGCAGTGTGTGCACGGGTTGTTAATTAGAGCTGGTTCATGGCATGGTCATCAGAATTCTCCTTGGCAATTTCTGTCAGAGCAAATGCTGGAAACATTTTCATCATGGAAATATCTCACAAGTTTGCTTTGGACCATTAATTAGCTTAGATAATGGACATATAGGTGGCATGAATTTAAGTTTTGACATGAAGAGAAAGGGACGCAAACAACAAATCCTAGTTTACCATGTTCTTGTGTCAATAGATGACGAGTTCTTATAGGATTTGTTGTCAAGAAGTGATACAAACCAGTACAAAGTTCAGTTTATCCCTCTGTCTCATTCATAGCCATGGCATGGTTTAGAATCCTTGTACAGTTTTCGAAGTTATCATCTGGACACAAATGTCAGTGACTTGTACCATGGATGGAGGTTACTGTTGGCAGATTGACGGTGCCTTGGTTTTCGGAATGCTTGCTCTAGAAACTACCAGTTTTAGATGCCCACAGGTTTCGAGTAGTGTCTGTTCATTCCTGGGAATCTGCAGTGATCACCATTCTTTAGTTTTGGAAACCCATAAAGGCAATCATGGTTGCTTGTTTTTTCTGTACAATTAATTTTAAAAAAAAACTGATTTTTTTATTTTAATATTCATATTAAAAATAAAAAATATTATTTCAATTAAATTCTAATTAAAAAATTGATCAGACGTATAATGTATACAAGTATACAACATCTCAAGACAAGCTTTATTATGCCTTTGATTTTACCAATATCTGGCGATGTGGCGAAGGCCCATAAGAGACAATCGATCGATCACAAACCACTAGTACTCTAATACTATAACGAATTCCATGTGAAAAGGCCTTCAACAGTTGTCAAAAGTATTTTGTCCTCCATTAAATAGATTCTTAATTTCGTGTGGCTACACTCCGACGGAGTATCACATCAGCTTACAAGTTAGTCAAAGTTATAAAGTTGGATCTGGCTTGATTGAAAATTTTAATTTTAATTTGTATTAAAAACAGATTTTGTTTGCTAAATCCAGTTGATTCATGGACTGGTTCACTGGTAAAACTCATTTCAAACTTAATAAAATCAATATTAAAATTAAAAAAATAATAATACCATTCTGATACAAAAATAATAAATTTAAATTATCATGATAATCCAATAACCTCAGATTTTTCTTACCATATCAAACCTTGCACGGGTCAGACAAATCAGAATCTGGCATTTTTTTTTTTTTTTTGCTTTATGTGGGGTGTCCGGGCCAGCTTGCGCGCACCACGACTAATCTCCACGGCCTACTGAACACCCTGCAAACCCAGCAGGCAGGTAAGGCAACGCGGGGCTGACAGGCATACAACTCCAAAACTCGAACCCTTAACAGTGGAAGGCACAAGACGTCTGTCACCGCTGGGTCAATGCGGACAAATCAGAATCTGGCATTTTGTTTTGGTCAAAGAGAATCCTTAGCTCAGAATCTAATAGCTTGAGCTAAGGTAAGTTGAGAAATTGCTATCATGATTTGATTTTGTTTTGCATTTCAAGTCTTAGACATTTTTCCTAAGCGCTTTCGTCTCTTTTCTGAAGAAGATGCAGAAGGCTTATTTCGATGTTCCTGAGGTAGTGTTCATAGTAACAGTGGATTTTTATAAAATGTTTTTAATATCAATACACTAAAACAATTGAAATAAAAAAATATTTTTAAACTTTAAAAGAAAAAACACACGCCCAGCAGAATCAAACACGTACTTGATATTAAAAAACAATGATTATAAGTGGCTCTTGATTTCTAAGTTTGGGATTTAGCCTTATACAAACAGTTCATTCTTAATCGAGAACTTGATGTAAAGGAAGGACTCCTGCCACCAAACCTTCATATGAAAGGCAGTGTGTACATGGAAAAAGATCTAGCCAGCCGTGTCCATTGGTTCTGGTTCACTTCTAGGCAGTTTACCTGTCAAAACAAATTTCCTTTACAAGGACTTTTCCATGGATGCTGGTCCATCAATTTATATCCCGCATGTTTGGAATTTTCTTTAAAAGAAAATTGAATTTAAATATTTTAATGAAATTTTACATTTAAAATTATTTTGAAAATTAAGAATTGAGTTTCAAATTAAAATTTATCTTTAAGAATATAATAAAGATAAATTAAAGGTTAACCCATCTAATTTAATACACTAGTTAAAAAAATTAATGTTGAGATTATTTTCCTCAAGATATCTATTGTCTCATCTTTTTTTTTAAATTTTCTTTGAAAAAGTAAAATAAAAGCAACGAGAATAATATAAAAATTAAATTAAAATAAATTATATATTTTTTCAAACATGTTAAATTAATTTAATATTTTTTTTCAAACATGTTAAATTAATTTAATTCAAGTTAAGTATTATAATCGATTTAATTATAATAAAAAATTAGTTAAAAACAACACTAAAAAAATATTCTGAAACACTTTGCTGAAATTCACGTAACCTTCACTTGATTCCACGACTTGCAATTTCCAAATTCGGACAACATATAAACAGATGTGGAATAACACTTGCTGCAAGTGAGAATCTTGGTATTGCCACGAGGATCACGTCAATCTCCCAGCGCACAGTAGGGCCAGGCATAAGTCTGGTGATTTAAGATGTGACCTGCTATTGGTAAAATTATATTATTTTTTCAAATATTTTATGAACAATGTAATTTACCTTATTTTTTATACTGCTGTGATTTTTTCTTTTTCTTTTTTTAAAAAAAAAAACCGAAACAAATGCCAGTACTCACATGATGCTAGACAGGAGATCCAGAGAGATATTAATAGGGCAGGTGAGCTAAAAAAAAAACAGAGCAGGTGTGTTCGAATTCCGAATTAATTCAGTAGACGAGATATATATTTTTATGCGTACTTTCATACTAATGGGGAGTTTGAAGTGCAATGGGAATTATATTTTTAAAAATTTTAATATTTTAAAATTATTTTGATGTAATAATATAAAAAATAATTTTTAAAAAATTAAAAATTTTAATTTAATTTATTTTAAAACAAAAAATATTTTAAACCACCATCATTATTACAATCCCAAATATACTATTAATCCAATGCACGTCTTCTCATTTATTATGCTCTATGTAATTATTAATTGAAAGCATGAAGCTCAACTTCTTGATGGTCGTCCAAGACCCAAGTAAATGACACGGGGTCAGCAAGTAATGTAATCTTATTTGACATTCTTACAGAATTTATTAACCGGAAAGAAAAATTAATAAATAGATTTAAGAAATTCAATAATAAATTTAAATCACCCTATTTATTATAAAAAAAATTAAAGGCTCGAGAGAAATATGAATGATCTCAAAGAGAGAGGGGAAACTCTAAATAAAAATAATAATTTTGGGTGTTGAGGAAGGCATTTGAAACTGCTCTCATATATATATATTTATTTATTTTAAAGTATAATTGACATGAAAAAACATTAAATTATCATATATTTTTTTAAGGTTTTGATGTGGTTATGTCAAAAATTAAAACAAAATTTTTTTAATTTAATATATTTTAAAGTAAAAAATTATTTAAAAAAACACTGTACATTACCATTCTAAACACATACAAGTGTAAGAAGGAATGACCGAGCCCAGATATAAAATGTTGAGCATCTAGTAGCCCAAGTCCATCAATGCTTCCACTAAGTTTTGACCACCCGTGCTCTTCTAGATTCCGAGGTGCTCGCGGACAGTGGCATGGGAAAAATTTAGAGTGCACAAAATTCCAATTCGGAACTTATGGTTTCACCTTAACCCTATATCGAAATCTGAGTTTCCAAAAGGTTGCGATTCGATAAGTTTTTCATAAACATCTAAAGACAACTAATAAGGGCACCGCCGAAAGCTTTTTCTCGAATACTTTCCCATGTTGAAAATTTCTATTGTTTAATTTAGAATCATGACTTGATTCGGGATAAATTTCTTTTAAGTATAATGGATATTGATCTCGTTAAATCAAATTAATCCTATTAAAACTTTAATGATCTGATTAATCAAATTAAATTAATATAAAAAACTAATTTAAATTAACTCATAACCTATTAATTAAACATGTGCTCAATAACCCATGTACCTTTTCAAGTCAATTCTCAAATAGATTTGACAATTATAGACTGACCCGTGGGAAGGAGGAGGATGAACATGGTTTCCCATAGCTACTTAAGAAATCTATTAGGCAACACTTAAACGGAGCTCAGTTCTTTTTTTGGTAACCATATCGAATAAAGGCTTTGGGCTGCCGGCAGCCTACATAAAAAAGCTAGGCAGCTCTTTTATATATATATATATATATATATATTCCATTCTTTAATTTTAGCTTTTAACTTGTTTTAATCTTCAGTGGAAGATTTTAACTCTTTCAGGAATAATTACCAATATTTATATTTATAAAAAGGTAATAAAAAATAAAATAATATATAATCCATCAAAATTAATAAAAATATTTTTACATGGACTTAAAGATAATTTTTTTATTTATATCTCATCACTCTTTCCATGAATTTTTAAGAAATTTTCCATCCTATAATACGGTAGATTTTTTTTAAAATATTTTTTAATATTTTTTACCGCAGATTTTTTTTTAAATATTTTTTAATATTTTTTACTTGAACAAAATATTAAATTAATATTTTTAATATGAATAAAGTATTAAATTAATATTTTTAATATATTTTTAATTTAAATTTATTTTTCAGCTTATCTTATATTACCAACTAGTATTTGTAGGCAATATTTGTTTATAAGATACAAAATTATTTTTTTATTTTAAATATTTTAAATATATTAATATTATACCAACTAGTATTTGTAGGCAATATTTGTTTATAAGATACAAAATTATTTTTTAAAAAATATAATTATTTTTTTCTTTTAAATATTTTTAATATATTAATATTAAAAATAAATTTTAAAAAAATAAAAAAATATTATTTTAATATATTTTAAAACAAAAGTTACTTTTAAAAATTACTATTGTAAAAATAAAAAAGCCAAACAAAAAGAAATTTTTTAATGAAAAACAATAGGGTCATGTTATACAGTGCCACGTGGTAGAAATCGAAGATCAACACGCATGTTTACATATCGCTGTCCTGCAAGGTCACGAACGCCCATCAAAGACCTTCAACTTCGGCTTTTTAGAAACTGGAACATTCATCCTCTGGACACGTGTGTTCATGTCGTAGATCTGTGGGCTCCAGTGGTGGGACCCATACATAGAATCTAATAATTGAGGTGATAAAGTAAAGCCTACCACTTTCATACGGCAGTACGTGGCACATGTCTTTTGCTTACTTCATGTGCCTCATCTCGAAACTAGCAAGTTTAGAAACGCCATCTGAAACAATATTTTTTTAATTATTTTTATTAAAAAATATTTTTTAATTTGAAACAATATTTTTTAAATTATTTTTATTAAAAAATATTTTTTAATATTTTTAGATTTTGATGATATATTAATTTTAGAAATAATTTTTAATGTGATATATTAATTTTAAAAATAATTTTTTTAACTCTTATTATAATT